CAGTAAAAAATAAACGGTCCCGTGTTTAATGTCTCTATGTTCATGGGACAGCAGCGTTGAGTGTGTGTGTGTGTGTGTGTGTGTGTGTGTGTGTGTGTGTGTGTGTGTGTGTGTGTGTGTGTGTGTGTGTGTGTGTGTGTGTGTGTGTGTGTGTGTGTGTGTTTGTGAGTATGGGTGTATGCTTGTGTGAAGTGTATGTGTGTACAGGCAGGGTTGGGTAGGTTACTTTTAAATGTAATCAGTTACAGTTACTAGTTACCTGTCCAAAATTGTAATCAGTAACTTAACTTTTGGATTACTCAAACTCAGTAACGTAATGATTACTTTCAGTTACTTTTCGATCCATCTAACACATTTGGTGTGTCATGGTGGTCTCTGACCTGTGGTCAGACTCGCTCAGCTGGAACAAACATAAACTTGAACCTTTTTTCAATGCTAAATTGAATGCCATTGAGAAAACAGAAAGGTGTAATAATGTATTTTTCGGCAAACATCCATAATATTTCTGAATTTAAAAGTAATCCTAGAAGTAATCATCTAGTTTTTCAAAAGTAGCTGTATTCTGATGACAATATTATTGCTGGTAATGTAATTGATTACAGTTACTGTTTGTTTTGGTCTTCAGATTACATGTAGCTGATTACATGTTGTAATTAGTGTGGTTACCACATAGCACTGTATCTGAACATGTGGTTTTGTGTAGTTGCCAGAGGAGGTTCAATTGAAAGCCATAGCGTTCACTGCAGGTATTTAGTGATTGACTTATACATGTCTGTACCTATTTATCAGCATGTGGATGTTGGTGAAACCTTGACTTACCTGTGATAATGTGAATGCCCTCTCAACTCATTGTTACTGGTAGAAAGGTACTGGACAGCACATCTCCCCTCTACTTCTCTGTTTGTTTCAACTCTATTCAATGCAGCAGAGGGGTAAACTGTAATGCAGGATTCAAGGAGTTAGCCAGCTAACTTGTCAAAATATTCTGAAATAACTTTATATTTTTTAGACAGTTAAGCTTGAAATAAGCATGATCTAATTGACTCAGCAACCAAAAACACATATGTTTAGATTTTTTAATGAATCGGAAAATCAACAGTTATTTCTGGTTGGTTATCAAAGTTGCTGGTTAACTCATTAGTCCTGTTTTGTAGTATACCCCTCTGTTCATTTGGCTAAAGTGTTGTTCAATGTCTGGCCTATGACCAACACCTGACTAATGTATTTTGACAGACCCTCTCCCTCCCTTCCTTCCCCTTGACAGTGATAAACATTTTGGGCTGGTTTACTGGACCCTTATTAATTCCTGGACTAAAAAGCATCTCCAATAGAGTATCTCCACTGGGTATGCTTTTATCCCAGGAATCGGCTTAATCTGGGTCCGGTGAACTGGAAACACGGTGACTCTGTCTGTCTTTTGTTCTCACTCTGTGTGTTTTTTTTTTCTTCTACCACCCAGTAGGTCTGCAAGCCAACGACTTGCAGGATGATTTCTCTGTTCCTGCTGATGGAGAATATTTGCGCTTGCTGGCACTTGCTTTCTCTAGCGGGATACATTATTATTTGCATATTTTCCCTAATATTTGTAATGGCGGACATCATTCTAGTCATGTATGGACAATTTTACTACTATTAAGTAGAAGTTTTGAGTGTCATTAAAAGTTGTATTAATTGGTCATCTTATACGTTTCTCTAAAGCAGTATATTTACAGTGCATTCGAAAAGTATTCAGACCCCTTGACTTTTTCCACATTTTGTTATGTTACAGCCTTATTCTAAAATTGATTAAATAAATACAAATTCCTCATCAATCTACACACAATACCCCACAATGACAAAGCGAAAGCAGGTTTTAAGAGATTTTTGCAAATGTATACAAAATAAAAAACAGAAATACCTTATTTACATAAGTATTCAGAACCTTTGCTATGCAACTCAAAATTGAGCTCAGGTGCATCCTGTTTCCATTGATCATCCTTGAGATGTTTCTACAGCTTGATTGGAGTCCACCTGTGGTAAATTCAATTGATTCAACAGGGTTTGGAAAGGCACACACCTTTCTAAATAAGGTCCAACAGTTGACAATGCATGTCAGAGCAAAAACCAAGCCATGAGGTCGAAGGAATTGTCCATAGAGCTCCGAGACAGGATTGTGTCGAAGCACAGACCTTTGGCAGGGTACCAAAAAATGTATGCAGCATTGAAGGTCCCCAAGAACAAAGTGGCCTCCATCATTCTTAAATGGAAGAAGTTTGGAACCACCAAGACTCTTCCTAGAGCTAGCCGTACGGCCAAACTGAGCAATTGTGGGAGAAGGGCCTTGGTCAGGGAGGTGACCAGGAACGCGATGGACACTCTGACAGAGCTCCAGAGTTCCTCTGTGGAGATGGGAGAACCTTCCAGAAGGACGACCATCTCTGCGGAAGCCACTCCTCAGTAAAAGGCACAATGACAGCCCGCTTGGAGTTTGCCAAAAGGCACCTAAAGGACTCAGACCATGAGAAACAAGATTCTCTGGTCTGATGAAACTAATATTGAACTCTTTGGCCTGAATGCAAAGCATCACTTCTGGAGAAAACCTGGCACCATCCCTACGGTGAAGCATGGTGGTGGTAGCATCATACTGTGGGGATGTTTTTCGGTGGCAGGGACTGGGAGACTAGTCAGGATCGAGAGAATGATGAACGGAGCAAACTACAGAGAGATCCTTGATAAAAACCTGCTCCAGAGCACTCAGGATCTCAGACTGGGGCGAAGGTTCACCTTCCAACAGGACAACGACCATAAGCACACAGCCAAGTCAACGCAGGAGTGGCTTCGGAACAAGTTTCTGAATATCCTTGAGTGGCCCTGCCAGAGTCCGGACTTGAACCCGATCGAACATCTCTGGAGAGACCTGAAAATAGCTGTGCGGCGACGCTCCCCATCCAACCTGACAGAGCTTGAGGGGATCTGCAGAGAAGAACGGGAGAAAGTCCCCAAATACAGGTGTGCCAAGCTTGTAGCGTCATACCCAAGAAGACTCAAGGCTGTAATCACTGCCAACGGTGCATCAACAAAGTACTGAGTAAAGGGTCTGAAAACGTATGTAAATGTGATATTTCAGGGTTTTTCTTTTTTAATAAATGTGCAAACATTTCTAAATATATGTTTTTGCTTTGTCATTATGGGGTATTGTGTGTAGATTGATGAGGGGAAAAAGAATTTAATCCATTTTAGAATAAGGCTGTAATGTAACAAAATATGGAAAAAGACAAGGGGTCTGAATACTTTCCGAATGCACTGTATAGATTCTTTCTGTTTAATAAAAGGCTTATTTTCATAAAGGCACCATCAAAGATTGCAAAATATCTTTAAATCAATTTGTAATTTACTTAAAATGTTTACTTAGGAAATAAAAAGAAGCACAACGTCTGGCTTGTGTATGATTACAGTGTCCGGATATAATCAAAGTGTTTAGTGATTACCTACAGTTGAAGTCGGAAGTTTACATACACCTTAGCCAAATACATTTAAACTCAGTTTTTCACAATTCCTGACATCTAATCCTGTCTTAGGTCAGTTAGGATCACCACTTTATTTTAAGAATGTGAAATGTCAGATTAATAGTAGAGAGAATTATTTATTTAAGCTTCTATTTCTTTCATCACATTCCCAGTGGGTCAGAAGTTTACATACACTCAATTAGTATTTGGTAGCATTGCCTTTAAATTGTTTAACTTGGGACAAACGTTTCGGGTAGCCTTCCATAAGCTTCCCACAATAGGTTGGGTGAATTTTGGCCCATTCCTCCTGACAGAGCTGGTGTACCTGAGTCAGGTTTGTAGGCCTCCTTGCTCGCACACGCTTTTTCAGTTCTGCCCACACATTTTCTATAGGATTGAGGTCAGGGCTTTGTGATGGCCACTCCAGTACCTTGACTTTGTTGTCCTTAAGCCATTTTGCTTCAATATATCCACATAATTTCCCTTCCTCATGATGCCATCTATTTTGTGAAGTGCACCAGTCCCTCCTGCAGCAAAGCACCCCCACAGCATGATGCTGCCACCCCCGTGTTTCACGGTTGGGATGGTGTTCTTCGGCTTGCAAGCGTTCCCCTTTTTGGAGCAGTGGCTTCTTCCTTGCTGAGCGGCCTTTCAGGGTATGTCGATATAGGACTCGTTTTACTATGGATATAGATACTTTTGTACCTGTTTCCTCCAGCATCTTCACAAGGTCCTTTGCTGTTGTTCTGGGATTGATTTGCACTTTTCGCACCAGAGTACGTTCATCTCTAGGAGACAGAACGCGTCTTCTTCCCGAGCGGTATGACGGCTGCGTGGTCCCATGGTGTTTATACTTGCGTACTATTGTTTGTACAGATGAACGTGGTACCTTCAGGCGTTTGGAAATTGCTCCCAAGGATGAACCAGACTTGTGGAGGTCTACAAAAAAAATTCTGAGGTCTTGGCTGATTTCTTTTGATTTTCCCATGATGTCAAGAAAAGAGGCATTGAGTTTGAAGGTAGGCCTTGAAATACATCCACAGGTACACCTCCAATTGACTCAAATGATGTAAATGAGCCTATCAGAAGCTTCTAAAGCCATGACATCATTTTCTGGACTTTTCCAAGCTGTTTAAAGGCACAGTCAACTTAGTGTATGTAAACTTCTGACCCTCTAGAATTGTGATACAGTGAATTATAAGTGTAAATAATTTGTCTGTAAACAATTGTTGGAAAAATGACTTGTGTCATGCACAAAGTAGATGTCCTAACCGACTTGCCAAAACTATAGTTTGTTAACAAGAAATTTGTGGAGTGGTTGAAAAACAAAATGTAATGACTCCAACCTAAGTGTATGTAAACCTCCGACTTCAACTGTATAATGTTTACATAATTACAGTACACACGTACTCTAAGTATAGTCAATGCATGTTTCCTTTTGTCTGGTTCACGATACTGTTCATTTGTGACCATACCCTTCCAAACAAATAGTATTTTCATTAAAAAATATGTATTAATATTGCTCATAATATTGTATTTCTGGCCCTTCTGACTGATCTGTTTCTATGTTTCTCTGTTCCAGTGCGGGTGCCTGGGATCCTCTTCCAGGAGGACTGCGACGTGAACTCTTGCCACCCCCAGCTGGGGGACCTGATGGTGGGCCGCGCTGCCAAGCTCTCAGCCTCCTCTACCTGCGGACTAAACGGGCCCCAGAACTACTGCATCCTCGGATACATGGAGGTCAGGACTTAAACCTTGATAGGGGTGCTCTGTGGTGCACTGTTCCTAAACACAAACTTGAGTGTTGTTGTGGGGTTGAAGTCAGTGAGTGTCATCTGTATATGTTAATCTGTCTCATCTGTCTGCACACAGTACTAATGCCAAAAACAGATATGTTCCACAAGCACAAACAGACAGTTAGCTGTGATCCCACGCAAAAAAACATCAGGCTTGTCAGTACTATCTACAGAATCTCAACAGTGTTTAAGCCAGATGTTGAAGGTTGGAATAGGATATAAAGCGTTGTTTTAGAACAACTCTCTCCATTTGATTGTCAGCTCTGTTGCTCACCCTTAAGATGCCTCATACTGCAGACGTGTCTTGATCTGCCACATTTATAGTTCATTTTACATTTTAGTAATTTAGCAGACGCTCTCATCCAGAGCGACTTACAGTTAGTGAGTGCATAAATGTTTCATACTGGCTCCCGTGGGAATCGAACCCACAACCCTGGCGTTGCAAGTGCCATGCTCTACCAACTGAGCTACAGGAGGCCTGGCGTTTCCCTGAAAGTGCTCTGGGGCTAATTTAAGTGCTCTCGCTATGATGATTTCCTCTGCATAGCCCTCTTACCTCCCCCTTCACTCCCCTTTCCTCCCCTCAATGTTTCTCTCTAACACACCTTCTTTCTCTCTTTCACTCTCTGTTTTCCTCTCTCTCTTTCTGGATCTTTTTCTCCTTCTACGTTTTTTCTCTCTCTTAGCTCTTCCCCCTGTGTCACGCCCTGGCTCTGGGGACTCTTAAATGTTGAGCCAGGGTGTGGAGTTTCTATGTCATATTTTCTATGTTGTGTTTTCTAGATCGTGTAGATCTATGTTGGCCAGGGTGGTTCCCAATCAGAGGCAGCTGTAGCTCATTGTCTCTGATTGGGGGCAATACTTAGGCAGCCTATTTGGCACTAGTCGGTGTGGGATCTTGTTCCGTTTAGGTTTGTTTTGTGTAACCTAGGACTTCACGTATCGTTTGTTTGTTGTTTTGTGTCGTGTTAAGTACGTAATAAAATGCTTATCACGCTGCGCCCTGGTCCGTCTCATCAGTAAACGATCGTGACACCCTGTCCTCCCCTGGCAGGTGATAGGTGTGTGCCCCTTTTGTGGACTTATGGCCTTATGAATTTATGAGTGCGTTTTCTTAGCATAATTCCGCCTAAATGTTTTGGGGCAGTCGAGAACTAATTGCAGGAAAAAAAGTGTGACTTAATCACTCACTCAGTTATTGGGGTTGTTGCCATGGGAAACCAATTAGTTGTGTAAAACCCCTGTTTTATTTCTAGTAACAAAATTGAAAAATGTCCCTTTTTGTCTTTCTCAGGATGAGCAGAAGTGCTTCACCTGTGACTCCAGGCAGACCTACAATCTCTATAACAACCAAGACAGCCACCAGATTGAGAACGTCATCACCACCTTTGGCACTGAGCGCAAGATGAAGTGGTGGCAGTCTCATAACGGTGGGTCTCAGTCCAGATACTTTATGCTTGATATCCAGCCCTGGGTCAAAAACATTATGTAATTTACCAGAAATAAATTTGAGGTGTGCTTAAGCTAGAGTACCGACCAGGGTAACAAAATCACTTGAAAGTATTTGACATACTGTATGTACAGTGCCGTGAAAAGGTATTTTCCCCCTTTCTGATTTTCTCTATTTTTGCATGTTTTTGATACTGAATGTTATCAGATCTTCAACCAAAACCTGATATTAGATAAAGGGAAATTATACTTATTTTGTTTATTTAATTAACAAAGTTATACAACATCCAATTCCCCAGTGTGAAAAAGTAATTGCCCCCTTACACTCAATAGCTGGTTGACCTGGGTCCCATTATGCCTGGCGAAAACCAAACACTGCATTCCACAGTAAGAACCAAATACCGACGGTCAAGAATGGTGGTGGTAGTGTGATGGTTTGGGGATGCTTTGTTGCCTCAGGACCTGGATGACTTGCCTTATTAGAAGGAACCATGAATTCTCCTCTGTATCAGAGAATTCTACAGGAGAATGTCAGGCCATCCGTCTGTGAGCTGAAGCTGAAGCGCAGCTGGGTCATACAGCAAGACATTGATCCAAAACACACGATCAAGTCCACATGAAAATGGCTAAAAAGCAACACATTTGATGTTTTGGAATGGCCTAGTCAAAGTCCAGACCTAATTCCAATTGAGATGTTGTGGTAGGACTTGAAAAGAGTAGTTCATGCTTGAAAAGTACTCTGTAGCTCAGCTGGTAGAGCACGGCGCTTGTAACGCTAAGGTAGTGGGTTCGATCCCCGGGACCACCCATACATAAAAAATAAAATTATGCACGCATGACTGTTAGTCGCTTTGGATAAAAGCGTCTGCTAAATGGCGTATTATATTATATTATAAAACCCACAAATGTCGCTGAGTTACAGCAGTTCTGCATGGAAGAGTGGGCCAAAATTCCTCCACAGCGACGTGAGAGACTGATCAACAACTACAGGAAGTATTTGGTTGCAGTTATTGCAGCTAAAGGTGGCACAACCAGTTATTGAGTGTAAGGGGGCAATTACTTTTTCACACAGGGGCATTGGGTGTTGCATAACTTTGTTTATGAAATAAATGTTTAATTGTTGTGTTATTTGTTCACTCAGGGCCCCTTTATCTAATATTAGGTTTTGGTTGAAGATCTGATAACATTCAGTATAAAAAATATGCAAACGTAGAGAAAATTAGAAAGGGGGGAAATACTTTTTCACTGCACTGTTTTTGGACCAGGTCAGATCATATCTAGGAGGTTACGTAATCAATAATGTTTCAACACCTTTAGATGGAGCTAGAGAGCCCACTGTACAATGAGAGCCCATGCTAGAACAGTAATCATATAGAATTTGACTGACTGAATGAGATGTTTAGTGCTAGGCTGGAACAAAAAGCTACATACACTGCAGCTCTCTCCAGGTCCAAGAGTGCCAGACCTAACACTACATTAATTTGTGTGCCTCAATCAATATCGCTCTGTCTGCACTGACACTCCCTGCGGAGTGATGATATTTCCTTTGCTGGCCTTGCAGAGTTTCCGTCCTGCCGTCATGTTGGTGGAAAGGTCTAAGGACTATGGGCACAGTTGGAAGGTGTTCCGCTACTTTGCAGAGGACTGTGCCTCCCACTTCCCTGGGGTCTCACAGGGGCCGGCTGACAGCACCAATGATGTCATCTGTGACAGCAGATACTCAGCCTCAGAGCCATCTACTGACGGAGAGGTGAAATACACACACGAACGCAAAACACAATAACCAAACGTATGGCACGCGTCTATGGCATTCCATTACAGGTGGTGTTGAAGGCTCTAGATCCAAGCTTTGACATAGAGAACCCATACGCTCCCCATATTCAAGGTTAGACACAGACTTTTCATTACATTATTACCAGTGGTGGAACAAAGTAGAATTGTAAAATACAATTTTCACCCATTTGAAATGTTCTCCCCTTCAGAGCAGATCACCATGACCAACCTGCGGATCAACTTCACCCGTCTGTTCACCCCAGGTGACACCCTACTGGGGCGGAAGAAGAGGAACCCTGAGGAGAAGTACTACTACTGTTACCCTGTACGAAATGGTGGTGCGAGGCAGCTGCTTCTGTAACGGCCATGCCAGCATGTGTATGCCTGTGGATGGAACAGGAGGAGACATCTTCAACGAGCCTAACATGGTGAGGAGGGGGAAGAAGGGAATATAGCAGTTGCACTGTATCCAGAATGGCCATATTGAATCCTAAACTGTTTTCTTTTGGGTTCTTCAAATATTGTTTACCTCTGTATCTCTTTGTTTATGTTTATGATGTAGCTTCTGACCTTGTTCTCTTAGATTCACGGGCGCTGTGTGTGCCAACACAACACCGTGGGCACCAACTGTGATAAATGCCAGGACTTTTACAACGATGCCCCCTGGAGGCCAGCAGGCCAAACTGACCCACACGTCTGCAGAAGTAATGCACTTTAATTTATTATTTGACTGATGTCTATGCGTGTGCTGACTGGGATTCAAACCCGAAATGCCTGTGTGAGCTGTGGTAGCCCACCGAGCTAAAGCCTCGGACACTCCTCCAAGCCATGATTGAGGGAATCATACTGTTGGGGAAAACTGGGTAATTGGGAGTGTATTACATTGCATTAGTTTTATGACAGTGTTTGTTTCTTCACTTAGGGTGCAACTGTCATGGCCATTCGGAGACGTGTCACTTTGACATAGGCCAGTACCAGGCCAGTGGAGGGGTCAGCGGAGGGGTGTGTGACGATTGCCAACATGACCGCATGGGCCCCCAGTGGGAACGGTGCCGACCTTACCTCTACCAGGACCCCCAGCTCTCCATGGAAGACACTTGGGGCTGTATCTGTAAGTCAGCTTCTAGCAGGTTTATATCTATTTTGTTCCAGGCAGATAATCTGGCAATGTTTTATATGAAGTTATAGCTGTAGCTCTTTTACTACTCCTATGAAGTGTACTCAGTCAATAGAAGCTTTGCGTTGATGATGTCACCCTATATGAAGCTATACATAGTCATTCTATAACTCCACCCTGTTGTAACGTTGGTTCTGTTTGGCTCCAGCGTGTGACTGTGACCCAATGGGGACCCTGGATAACGGCCTGTGTGACCCCGTGTCGGGCCGCCGCGTGTGTAAGGAGAACGTGGCGGGGGACAGGTGTGAACACTGTAAATTCAGCTTTTATGGGTTCAGACAGGAGGACCCCACTGGCTGCCAGAGTAAGTCTAGAGTAAAGTAATTATACTGTATATCTATGGAGGCCTCCCTGTGGTTATTCACACTCTCTGATTGGTCCTCTGTGTTTAGGGTGCAAGTGTAACTTCCGGGGTAGTGTCCTGACGCCTTACCCATGTGACCAGGAGACAGGTCAGTGTGTGTGTCAGCGCCTCGCCACAGGACCCGTGTGTGACTGATGTCTGGTAGGACCATGTGTCTCCATGACAACCAACGTTGTGCTTTAGCTCCTACTATAAGTTCAGTGATAAACTTACTAGCACCAACATCCTGATTGATGTAAAAAAAAAGGTTATCTCTCTCTCTCTAGCCAGGTTACTGGGATCTGGGGAACACTGTGCACACCTGTTCTCCTTGTGACTGTGACCATGGAGGAGCCTACAGCAGCACGTGTGTAGAACAACACTGTACATTGTACAGTATATAATGATCTTAACATTGACACAAAACCTGGTGGTTTATTCAGTGAGGTGAAACACTCATCAAGCATATCTGTTCTACTAAATACATTTCTATCTGAACATCCTGAACGTTTCACCTTATGGAATATACCCCAGCATGTTTTGTCTTGCCCCCTTGTCCAACCCGATTGGCTGGATCTCCCTCTCATGTCCACAGGTGCTCATCAGTGGACGGCCAGTGTCAGTGCCTACCCAACATGGTTGGCCGGAGCTGTGGTGATCCCGCCCACGGACACTTCCTGGCTGGTCTGGACTACTACCTGTACGATGCAGAGAACGCTGCCCCACTGGAGGGACAAAGCTCCCCTCTGGTGATGCCTGAGTATGACGTTTCACCTTCAGCATTGTGGCCAATGGCTGCGGATGGAAAGCTTCAGCGTCAAACTTTTGATAGTGGATTATGTCAGCAATTCAAATACCTAAAGTTGATGTGCATTCGTGTGCGTATTCCTCCCCCAGTTGAAAGCCACAGGCCTGCCTGTGTGTGAGGAATACTACAGACAGCAGGGCTATGACTTCAAATATCAAAATGTCCGCTTGGTCCTGACCAGGAGAAGCAAGAGACAAGCCAGGAGGAGAAGACAGGGACAGGTACTAGCAACACCTCAATAGCTTACTTACACAGTAGGAGTGTAGTACTGATTAGTAACTTACACTGAGTTTCTTTCCATCAGAGATCCATTCCCCTGGACCTGGGCTCGGCACTCCAGATTGTACCCCGGGAGAGGACCACAGATGTGCCAATCACTTGGACTGGTCCAGGATTTGTGAGGGTCCTGGATGGGGTGGGGCTTAGGTTCACTGTGGACAACCTTGCAGCTTCCCTCGACTACCAAGTGGTCATCCACTATGAACCAGAGGTGAGGGCAACCGTAGCAACGAAAAACATGTGAAACCATGGAAACACACTGTAATCATTGATGTGTGTGTGCAAAATAGTTTCTGTGTGTGATTGTGAAGTTTGAGCTTATATTTATTGTGTTCTCAATGTCGGTGACTGTGCTTACTTTGGTCGCTGTAGTCGCCAGATGACTGGATGGCTTCTGTGAGCATTGTTCCCTTATCGGCTGGTGACAGAGGATGTCCCACTGACCCGACAGGGGAGAAGACCCTCACCCTACCTGGGGCTGCCAGGTAAGAGACACCTGCACTCATCATCAGATAACATCAATATGAACAAATCTATGCTATAGTTACTATACTACTGGGCATTCCCATCGAAAAGGGCCCATGAGCAAAAACCTGTGAAGTTCATAGGACCATATCAAATTGGGTGTCAAATGAAAGCTAAGAGTCTATATTTTTTTGGAAATGAAGGCATAGATACATTTTCCAACTATTTTCCATCTTAAAAATTAGGCAAAAGTAAAGGCTTTGATTTCTGGATAAACAGATGGAAAAGGAGTCTTAGAAAACATTTACCTGAAAAAGTCTTAAAGGGTATCAGAAATACATCAAAACACAATGTTGACGTAAAGACCCCTACCAACTAATATCAATACATATTTAGTTTTGGAAAAATGGTTTACCTTCTGTAAATTTAGGAAATATTGCCTTGTGCCTTGTAATTCCTTTATTAAAAAACAACAACATTTCTTTAAGTTATTTTCTAATTTCTCTCACTCATGAGGAGGGAGGATAATGAATGTTCACAGAAATAACAAGTAATGGTAGGCCTAGACAATTAGGGATTTTACTGATATCAATTTTATTTAGGAATTATTAAGTGATTCAAACTCGTTATTCCGTTACCAAATTGGTAACAGAATTACTAAAAAATCTGTAACGGAATTACTGCAACTGAATTGGCTACAATGGGAAAACATATTAGTCACAAACCACATTTGGATCAACTGCTACTGTCCTCCCTTGCATTAGCATACTCTTATGTTCAGCTCATAACTGTTTTCCTTGTCTTTCTGTTGTCCTGTGGTCAAACCAAGAGTGTTAAAACAGTCTGAGTCTGGACAACCCCTCCCTCACTCTCCAGTTAATGTCACCTCTCACACCTACCCATGAGGCCCCTCTCTTTCCATTTACTGTAACCAGCATCCTCACCCACTGAGCACCAACCGACACCGGACATCCATGGACGTTGAAAAGTAATTGAAATTTGGTCAGTCCACCCTGGCCTTGATGTTAACATCCACAGACGGACCAGACTGGACCAAATCTGAACCTATCATAGACGTACAGTACCAGTCAAAAGTTTGGACACCAACTCATTCAAGGGTTTTTCTTTATTTTTACTATTTTCTACATTGTAAAAAAGTAGTGAAGACATCAAAATATGAAATAACACATATGGAATCATGTAGTAACCAAAAAAGTGTTAAACAAATCAAAATATATTTTAAATTTTAGATTATTCAAAGTAGCCACCCTTTGCCTTTATGACAGCTTTGTACTCGCTTGGCATTCTCTCAACCAGCTTCATGAGGAATGCTTTTCCAACAGTCTTGAAGGAGTTCCCACATATGCTGAGCACTTGTTGGCTGCTTTCCCTTCACTGTGCGGTCCAACTCATCCCAAACCATCTCAATTGGGTTGAGGTTGGGTGATTGTGGAGGCCAGGTCATCTGATGCAGCACTCCATCACTCTTCTTCTTGGTCAAATAGCCCTTACACAGCCTGGAGGTGTGTTTTGGGTCATTGTCCTGTTGAAAAACAAATGATAGTCCCACTAAGCGCAAATCAGATGGGATGGCGTATCGCTGCAGAATGCTGTGGTAACCATGCTGGTTAAGTGTGCCTTGAATTCTAAATAAATCACTGACAGTATCACCAGCAAAGCACCATCACACCTCCTCTGTGCTTCACGGTGGGAACCACACATGTGGAGATCATCCGTTCACCTACTCTGTGTCTCACAAAGACACGGCAGTTGGAACCAAAAATCTCATCTGGACTCATCAGACCAAAGGACCAACTTATCCTCTGCAGCAGAGGTAACTCTGGGTCTTCCTTTCCTGTGGCGGTCCTCATGAGAGCCAGTTTCATCATAGCGCTTAATGGTTTTTGCGACTGCACTTGAAGAAACTTTCAAAGTTCTTGACATTTTCCGTATTGACTGACCTTCATGTCTTAAAGTAATGATGGACTGTCGTTTCTCTTTGCTTATTTGAGCTGTTCTTGCCATGATATGGACTTGGTCTTTTACATCACGGCATAACGCCTCTCCCCTATTTGACCTAGATAGTTTGTGTGTATGTATTGATATGTAGGCTACAAGTGCCTTTAAATTTTTTTTATGTAGTTCTGTCCTTGAGCTGTTCTTGTCTATTAATGTTCTGTATTATGTAATGTTTAATGTTTTGTGTGGACCTCAGGAAGAGTAGCTGCTGCTTTTCCAACAGCTAATGGGGATCCTAATAAAATACCAAATACCAAATAGGGCTAGTTTCTGTATACCACCCTTACCTTGTCACAACATAACTGATTGGCTCAAACGCATTAAGAAGGAAAGAAATTCCACAAATTAACTTTTAAGAAGGCACACCTGTTAATTGAAATGAATTCCAGGTGACTACCTCATGAAGCTGGTTGAGAGAATGCCAAGAGTGTGCAAAGCTGTCATCAAGGCAAAGGGTGGCTATTTAAAGAATCTCAAATCTCAAATATATTTTGATTTGTTTAACACTGTTTTTGGTTACTACAAGATTCCATATGTGTTATTTCGTCGTTTTGATTTCTTCACTATTATTCTACAATGTATAAAAAGTAAAAATAAAGAAAAACCCTTGAATGAGTAGGTGTGTCCAAGGTTTTGACTGGTAGTGTACATTTTAAGTCAACGCGTAATTCCGTTACTGTGGAATTGCCCTACTACAAACATTTGTGTGACTTCTGTGTTTGTCCTCAGGGTTGCCATTTTGGATACGCCTGTGTGTCTGAATGCGGGAGGGAGATATTATGTGGACATCAAGTTTAGGACGCAGCCCAACACTAACCCTCAGTCCAGCTCACATACACTCATGGACTCAGTGAGAATACCATCACATTATTATTTGTATCATAATGTCATATATGTTACGGGAGATGAAGTCTTCTGAGGTGTGACGTCCAAACGGGTACCCTGTTAAACCCATGCCCTTCCTGTTTCTAGATGGGTCTGATCCCTAAGATGGACTCTGTGCAGAACTTCTGTTCACAGAGTGAGCTGGACTCGTTCAGAAGATTCCGCTGTGTTGGGTTGGCTGCTGAGCAGGAGACCCTGCCTGATGTGTGTAAGGGCCTCATCGGAAGCCTGTCGGCCCGCCTACACAATGGAGCCATGCGTGAGTACACCCTACACTAAACAATATCTTAACGTTATCACAGTGTACACTGTAGCTATCAGTGGCGGTCGGTGCCATTTAAGATGAGGGAGGACTATTATTTAAAAATATATATTTTAATTGTATTGTTTGTAATTTTTACCTCCTTTTTCTCCCCAATTTCATGATTACGATCTTGTCTCATCGCTGCAACTCCCCAACGGGTTCGGGAGAGGCGAAGGTTGAGTCATGCGTCCTCCGAAACATGACCCGCCAAGCCGCGCTTCTTAATACCCACTCGCTTAACCCGGAAGCCAGCTTCACCAATGTGTCGGAGGAAACACAGTTCAACTGACGACCGAAGTCAGCCTGCAGGCGCCCGGCCCGCCACAAGGAGTCGCTAGAGCGCGATGAGCCAAGTAAAGCACCGCCAAGTAAAGCACCCCCCAGCCAAACCCTCCCCTAACCCGGACGACGCTGGGCCAATTGTACGCCGCCCTATCGAACCCAGGCTGTAGTGACGCCGCAACACTGTGATGCAGTGCCTTAGACCGCTGCGCCACAAGGGAGGTCTGGACAATTATTTTTTTAATGAGCGTGACCTTATTTCTATTACAGCATATTAGATGACTGCCATTCATATTCCATTCCCCCAGCTCAATGTAACATCGATAGGTTTAGGCTACTGTAATTCTTTCTCGCATCTATGCACTCTCTTCCTCTCACCTTTTCCCTTCGCTTGTGGACTTCAGTGCACAACACATCAGCTGTGTGACCAGGCGAAAGAAACCTCCAAGCCAAACTGTCATATCATAACTGCTACACATAGCCTACTGTACATCATTGTCACCATATTAGCTAACGTCAAGTCAACATAGCTACTAGAACTAACGCGTTAGTAAACCCGCTACAATCCTGCAGTACAGTGTACAGTTAGCAAGCAGTTTAGCAGTTACACCGGTGGGCCCCGATTGCAATAAATTAATAAAACCAAAAGCTTACTTTGACTTGGATAAGTTCCAATTTGGATAGCCATAGCCAGCTAGGAACATATCATCCCTCTCTGTTTGAGCTGGGTGTTTAAGTAGGGTGCATTGGCTAGCTAAGTAACTGAAAGTGAAAAAAATACTAACTATAGCTCTCTTTCTCTCTCGCTTCTTCTTCATTTCTGAATAAATGTATTTGTTCACAACTGTTCGACTATTGTCTTTCTCTCACTTTGAGTCAACTACTCACCACATTTTTTGCACTGCAGTGCTAGCTAGCTGTAGGTTATGCTTTCAGTACTCGATTCATTCTCTGATCTTTTGATTGGGTGGACAACATGTCAGTTCATGCTGCAAAAGCTCTGATAGGTTGGAGGACATCCTCCGGAGGTTGTCATAATTACTGTGTAAGTCTATGGAAGGGGGTGAGAACCACGAGCCTCCTCGGTTTTGTATTGAAGTCAATGTACCCAGAGGACGGAAACTAGCTGTCCTCCGGCTACACCATGGTGCTTCCCCCCTACAAAGTGCTATTGAAGCTACTGTAGATCTTCATTGCAAAACAGTGTGTTTTAATCAATTATATGGTTACGTGAATATATTTAGTATAGTTTTATCTAAAAAGGATAACTTGTTTGATGGTCCTCCCCTTCCTCCTATGGGGAGCTTCCACTGGTAGGTATATACTCATTCTGGCAACTTAATTTCACAAAAAATGTTTAATATTATGTTTGTGTAATGTATGTGATGTGTGTGTATATAGTGCGTGTGTTTAATGCCATCACTTGTCTCCAGCTTGCAGGTGTAACCTCCAGGGCTCTCATGGCCCCTCCTGCAGTACATTTGGAGGGTTGTGTGAGTGCAAGCCCTATGTGATTGGCCGCTGCTGTGACTCCTGCGCCCCCCTGACATTTGGTTTCGGACCCAACGGTTGCACACGTACGTCACCATGACAATGGCATTCTCTGGTTACATACCATAATACTGTCACCTCCAAAATGATTGGCACCATTGATAAATATGTGCAAAGAAGACTGTATTAATACAAATACTGCGCTATATTGTACGCTAAAAAAAAGGGGAAATTATATTATTTTATACTAATACAATTGCTCAGAGAAAAATGTTTTGTTTAACAAATAATCTCAAAAAGATGGGTGTCAAAATTATTGGCACCCATAAAGATCTCCATTAATATTCTACTTTTTTAAGTGAAACTGTATTGTGGCCTTCCATGGCTTCCTTTATCTCTGGGTTTAAAAAATGTGGTAAAACGCACGTGAAATCCATTTATCATCCATCACCAAAGAACTCACAAATGAAAAGAGACAAACTGTTGTTGACTTTCATAAATCAGGCAATTAGTACAAAAGAAAGAGCAAAAAAACAAAAAACTACTTTCCACCATTAGGGAAATAACCATTGGAACAATGGGAAAATTGCCTGGTAGAGGACGCAAGTGTATCTTGTCCCCACATACAGTGAGGAAGATGGTTTGGGAGGCAAAGAAAAATCGAAAGGCCACAGTTTTACACAACTTGGAGTCCCAGTCTCCAAATCTACAATTAGACGCCATTTCCATGCCAATAGGCTCTTTGAAAAGGGTTGCCTGAAAATAAGCCTTTATTAAGAGCAACTAATACATGTAAATGCCTGTAGTTTGCTAAATGGTATTAGCACTTGGATTGGAACCGGGTGATATGTTCAGATAAGATGAAAATACAGCTCTTTGGCTACTCAAACCAGTGGTGGGTTTGGCGTCGAAAGAAGGATGCATGTGCAGAAAATAATATCTACTGTAAAATATGGTGATGGAGCTTTGATGTTATGGGGCTGTTTTGATTCCAATGGTCCTGGGGCCCTTATTAAGGTCAACTGCATCATGAACTCTAAGTCTACCAAGTAACAAGACATTTTAGCCAATACCTGTTTGTCTCTGGTAGGAGGCTGAAACTTGGCCACAAGGGATCTTCCAGCAAGACATTGACCCCAAGAAAACATCAAAATCCACAAATAAATTACATTTAATTTAATTAATTGACCACAAAATCTCAGTCTCCGGACTTGAACCCCATTGAAAATTTAATAAAATAAAATTAATTGACCACAAAATCAACATTTTGCAATGTCCATCTCAGTCTCCGGACTTGAACCCCATTGAAAATTTAATAAAATAAAATTAATTGACCACAAAATCAACATTTTGCAATGTCCATCTCAGTCTCCGGACTTGAACCCCATTGAAAACCTGTGGTTTAAATTGAAGAGGGCAGTCCATTAGAGCAGAAAAAAACATAGGGAGGAGTGGTCTAATATCCCTCCCAATGTGTTCTCCAATCTCATAAAAAATTATAGAAAAGGCTCAGTGCCGTTGTCCTCGCAAGGGGAAAGTGCAAAAAGTATTGAAAACAGGGGTGCCAATAATTTTGACACCTATCTTTTTGAGAGACAAAAATATGACTTGTTGAACAAAATCTGAGCAATTGTATTGGTATAAAACAATAGAATGATTTTGAGCATACAATATAGCTCAGTGTTTGTATTATTTATTTTATAGTCTTTTTTGCTCATCTTTATCAAGGGTGCCAATAATATTGGAGGTGACTGTATATACCCACAATGTTGTTGAAAATATGAAATTGTTATTGTGTTCTGATTGTGATCAAACCCTCCCACCCCTCCTCCTTCAGCCTGTGAGTGTGAACCTCGTGGCGCGGTGGCGGAGCTGTGTGACCAGGTCAGGGGTCAGTGTCTGTGTCGTATGGAGGTAGGCGGACGGCGCTGTAACCGCTGCCTGCCGGGGTACTACAGCTTTCCCCTGTGTCGGCACTGTGACTGCAACGGCCTGGCTGAACTGTGTGACCAGGACACTGGAGCCTGTCTGGACTGCAGGGAGCATTCCACCGGAGGCAAATGTGAGAGGTGAGGGTTCATTCATTCTTTCATTCATTTAAAAGCTGTTATTCACATTTCCCTATTAGAATCAACCCATATATATAGCTTGGTTCCATCCTGTGTGTGCCAACTTCTCTGACTATCATTCTTTCTACAGTCACAGATCTGCCAGTGTACAGCACACACAGTGTCAGTCAGAATGTTTGAATGTTGTGTGTTCGGTTGCTCCAGGTGTGTGGAGGGATACTTTTGTGACCCAGTCTCCAGGGAGCCCTGTGAACCTTGTCTGTGTCCTGACACTCAGTCCAGTGGACGGTTCTTCGCTAGCACCTGCAACAATGACCCAGAGTCTGGTAGCCTGACCTGTGACGGCCTGGCTGTACACAAAGGTGTTTTTGTGTGTTTATGTCGGTGCATGTGCACTCTTTTCAACATTTTATGAAGCTACAGTGGGGCAAAAAAGTATTTAGTCAGCCACCAATTGTGCAAGTTCTCCCACTTAAAAATATGAGAGAGGCCTGTAATTTTCATCATAGGTACATGTCAACTATGACAGACAAATTTTGGAGAAAAAAATCCAGAAAATCACATTGTAGGATTTTTTATGAATTTATTTGCAAATTATGGTGGAAAATAAGTATTTGGTCACCTACAAACAAGCAAGATTTCTGGCTCTCACAGACCTGTAACTTCTTCTTTAAGAGGCTCCTCTGTCCTCCACTCGTTACCTGTATTAATGGCACCTGTTTGAACTTGTTATCAGTATAAAATGCACCTGTCCACAACCTCAAACAGTCACACTCCAAACTCCACTATGGCCAAGACCAAAGAGCTGTCAAAGGACACCAGAAACAAAATTGTAGACCTGCACCAGGCTGGGAAGACTGAATCTGCAATAGGTAAGCAGGTTTGAAGAAATCAACTGTGGGAGCAATTATTAGGAAAGGGAAGACATACAAGACCACTGATAATCTCCCTCGATCTGGGGCTCCACGCAAGATCTCACCCCGTGGGGTCAAAATTATCACAAGAACGGTGAGCAAAAATCCCAGAACCACACGGGGGGACCTAGTGAATGACCTGCAGAGAGCTGGGACCAAAGTAACAAAGCCTACCATCAGTAACACACTACACCGCCAGGGACTCAAATCCTGCAGTGCGAGACGTGTCCCCCTGCTTAAGCCAGTACATGTCCAGGCCCGTCTGTAGTTTGCTAGAGTGCATTTGGATGATCCAGAAGAGGATTGGGAGAATGTCATATGGTCAGATGAAACCAAAATAGAACTTTTTGGTAAAAACTCAACTCGTCGTGTTTGGAGGACAAAGAATGCTGAGTTGCATCCAAATAACACCATACCTACTGTGAAGCATGGGGGTGGAAACATCATGCTTTGGGGCTGTTTTTCTGCAAAGGGACCAGGACGACTGATCCGTGTAAAGGAAAGAATGAATGGGGCCATGTATCGTGAGATTTTGAGTGAAAACCTCCTTCCATCAGCAAGGGCATTGAAGATGAAACGTGGCTGGGTCTTTCAGCATGACAATGATCCCAAACACACCGCCCGGGCAACGAAGGAGTGGCTTCGTAAGAAGCATTTCAAGGTCCTGGAGTGGCCTAGCCAGTCTCCAGATCTCAACCCCATAGAAAATCTTTGGAGGGAGTTGAAAGTCTGTGTTGCCCAGCGACAGCCCCAAAACATCACTGCTCTAGAGGAGATCTGCATGGAGGAATGGGCCAAAATACCAGCAACAGTGTGTGAAAACCTTGTGAAGACTTACAGAAAACGTTTGACCTGTGTCATTGCCAACAAAGGGTATATAACAAAGTATTGAGAAACTTTTGTTATTGACCAAATACTTATTTTCCACCATAATTTGCAAATAAATTCATTAAAAATCCTACAATGTGATTTTCTGGATTTCTTTTCTCATTTTGTCTGTCATAGTTGACGTGTACCTATGATGAAAATTACAGGCCTCTCTCATCTTTTTAAGTGGGAGAACTTGCACAATTGGTGGAAGAACTTGCACAACTGACTAAATACTTTTTTTCCCCACTGTATTTGCTAGTTTGACTGCTCACTACTGACCTTTGATCCTCATTTCTCTCCCTGCCCAAATTCCATTCAGGTCTACGCTGTGATGCCTGCTCCGCTGGTTTCTATGGCGACCTGACCACGCCAGGCGGCGGCTGCAAGGAGTGTCTCTGTAACAACAACATCGACCCTGCTGACAGTGTGACAGGAGAGTGTCTGCGTTGCCTCCACAACACCCAGGGACCCCACTGTCAGAGCTGTAAGCCTGGCTACTATGGAGATGCATTGGCCCAGAACTGCAAAGGTATAGCAGGGACACACAGTATACAAATCATCATCTGGCCCAGGACTGCAAAGAGGTTAATATTTATGGTGGTCAATAAAGTGTGGGGGGGCTGTCAATGTTTTGCCCCTAGATGCACCACACCTCCCCAGATAATTCTTGCCTGCTCAATGTGTGATTATTATTATTTTTTAACAGTAGTGCTTTGTGTTTTATGTTGTAATTGTCTGAAACTCTGTGTGCTGCTATTTTGGCCAGGTCTCTATTCAAGCAATAAGGCACGGGGGTGTGGTATATGGCCAATATACCATGGCTAAGGGCTGTTCTTAAGCACGACGCAACGCGGACTGGTCCCAGCTCTCTTCAGGTCATTGACCAGGTCCTGCCGTGTAGTTCTGGGCTGATCCCTCACCTTCCTCATGATCATTGATGCCCCACAAATTGAGATCTTGCATGGAGCCCCAGACCGAGGATGATTGACCGTCATCTTGAACTTCTTCCATTTTCTAATAATTGTGCCAACAGTTGTTGCCTTCTCACCATGCTGTTTGCCTATTGTCCTGTAGCCCATTCCAGCCTTGTGCAGGTCTACAATTTTATCCCTGATGTCCTTACACAGCTCTCTGGTCTTGGCCATTGTGGAGAGGTTGGAGTCTGTTTGATTGAGTGTGTGGACAGGTGTCTTTTATACAGGTAACGAGTTCAAACAGGTGCAGTTAATACAGGTAATGAGTGGAGAACAGGAGGGCTTCTTAAAGAAAAACTAACAGGTCTGTGAGAGCCGGAATTCTTACTGGTTGGTTGGTGATCAAATACTTATGTCATGCAATAAAATGCAAATGAATTACTTAAAAATCATACAATGTGATTTTCTGGATTTTTGTTTTAGATTCCGTCTCTCACAGTTGAAGTGTACCTATGATAAAAATTACAGACCTCTACATGCTTTGTAAGTAGGAAAACCTGCAAAATCGGCAGTGTATCAAATACTTGTTCTCCCCACTGTATGTGTGTTTCACTGTCAGTATGTTTATGTGTGTCCCCAAGAGTGCTCCTGTGACCGGCGGAGGACGGAGGTGACCCAGTGCCCTCTGGGCAGCCCGTGTTTCTGTGACCCACTCACGGGGCAGTGCCCGTGTCGGGCGGGCGTGGTGGGCACGCTGTGTGACGAGTGTGCCGACAGCTTCTGGAACATTCAGGGAGAGTCCGGGTGCCAACCGTGCAAATGTGACCCTGCCGACTCCCTCAATAACCACTGTGACAAGGCAAGGCCCCTATACTCTGTAACACTTAATTTTACATACGGATAAATAAAGATATATTCTATACTATTCTATGTCAAAGCATGGTAGACTGAGATATGTATTTTCCCATACTATATTGGTAAGCCTTCATATTTGGCTCTTCAGGTGTCTGGTCAGTACCAGTGTCGTACTGAGTTTGGAGGCAAACAGTGTGATGAGTGTGGGGAGAATCACTTTGGGAACCCTGACCTGCAGTGTGTCAGTAAGTTGTGGCCGAAAGTGATTCATTGATGATGGCTAAGTATTGGGTCTTTTAGTTTCTAGCACCACAAAGAGAGACAATGCTGTTGTGTACAGATTTCCCTGTAAAAGAAAAATGATTAACACCTGTCCCTTTCCTCCCTATCCCGTCTCCCTAGTCTGTGACTGCATCATGGAGGGTACCGACCGTCCTGCCTGTGACCCCTTGACAGGTGAGTGCCTGTGCCGCGTTGGTGTGAAGGGCATCTTCTGTGACGAGTGTGCCCCCGGGTATGACCAAGTCTTCCCCTCCTGCACCCCGTGCCACCCCTGTGCCGTCCTGTGGGTGGACAACGTCACTGACGTCCACCGTGCTGCACAGAGGATGCGCACGGTGGCGAGCAGCTGGAGCCAGGATACAGTAGTCAGTGGCAACGCATGCTGGAGATGCACTCCAAGTTGGACTATCTGGTGAACCTGACGGGGAGATCTCTACCTCGGGTGAAGGATGTGGAGAAGTTCTTTGTCAGAATCTTGTATGTACATTTCTGAAAGTGATTTATACTATACTTTGACAGTTATCTTGGAGCTGTATGCATTTTCCTTTGCTCTTTGTCCTTCCTCACAGGAAGCTCAAAGATACCATAGACCCCAACAGCATCATCATGGACCCAACATCTGTTCTGAACACTGAGATTGACAACATCCGCCGCGAGTTCAAGATGCTGTTGGATAACTTAAAGGACAAAATCAGCGAGGAGCCAACAGTAGATCCAGAGAAACTGCAGGGTACATATGGCCATATTGTTTGTTTAAATAATTTGTAATTCACTTTAACTTCACTGTGTGTATAGAGCAACTTGATAAAATGTAAAGTGTGAGTGTCTTATTGTTGGGGACTGTTATTTTGATGCTGATCCAGAGGCCCTGGAGGAGATCAGGAAGCAGCATGCATACTTCATGGCTGATGATAAGAAGGTGAAGGAGGCCAAAAGGGCCCTGGAGAACTCCATGGACACAAGGCAGGAGGTCAACGACCATCTGTCCAGCTGCAGCCACTTGGGAGACATGGAGGCGCTGGAGAAGAATGTCAAGGCTCTGAGTGTGGTATTGGGGATTTATTATTCTCCTAAATTGATGGGATGACTAACTTAGAAAGAATGCATTCTTGACTGGGCTAATGTAGGTTGTGACACCTGGCAGGCTGTGATTGATGTGAAGAGCTGTTTTAGGGGGTAAAATTAGATAAGGATTGTGTCTCCAAATGCTAGACTATACTGGTTCTTTGTGATCTGTGAACCTTCCTTGGACATAGGAATGGTGTCTAAGGGAGCTGGCTCTTCTCACTATGACAGGTTGTTATGATGAACGTATGCCTGGTAACAGAAGAGGCTGGCAACAGGGGTGCATCAACGGATTGGCTGAGTAAAGTTTAAACCACACTCAGTCCTTTACTCTGATTGGCCAGCAGAGAAGTGGGAAACTTTATCTGTCAGAGTATTTGAGTATTGGATCTGAAACAATGTGTTAGTTCTCTGGGGTGCCATGCGAGGTATCTCAGAGAGCCCGTATATACGAAACATCATATTTACCATTGAAGGTTTTTGCATTAATTAAAATAACTAGTATATCTTAGAAGTCGTGTTGACCTCTTTTGTTCCTAATACCAGATTTTAATTGACGCGACTTTGACAGTGGCCAAACTCAACAAAAACATGGGTGTTCCTTATTGTAGTGCTTGCACTGCATGCATCAAAAGACTGATGTGTTGCGTGAATGTCAGTCTGTTTCAATTGTCGCCAGCACTATGTTGATAGTCAGCCATGGAAATATTCTGATTTAAAGGCCCAGTGCAGTCAAAAACGTGATTTTCCTGTGTTTTATATGTAGGTTTGAATAATATTTTGAAATTAATGATAATTCCCTTTTAGTGCAAGAACTGTTTGAAAAGACCGTCGTTTTGGCCTGCCTGGTGACATCACCAGGTGGTATATTAGTTAATAGACCAATAAGAAAGACAGTTCCAAACCTCTCTACCAATAACAGCTAATTTTCAGTTTTCCCCTCCCCACTCAGACCACTCCCAGACAGTCCTAGCAAAATTATTGCTTGATAAATTGCTCTTTGCTAAGCTGTTTTTGTTTATTTTTGACAATTTTCATTGAAAACAATCACAGTAAGGTATTTAATTTTTACCCAGAAATTATTTGATTTATTTGACACAAGTCTCAATCTATCCTGTTCAGATCAATGAGGCCAAACAGATGACCAAGGACACCCATCATCAGGCGGAGGAGATGAAGAAGAACATCACTGACAGCAAGGAGATGTTTGAGAGGGAGAAGAAAGACACCAAGGACCTCATCAAGAGGGTCAAAGACTACCTCACAGGTCAGTGTGGAGGCTAGCTGGAAATAAGACTACCTCACAGGCCAGTGTGGAGGCTAGCTGGAAATAAGACTACCTCACAGGTCAGTGTGGAGGCTAGCTGGAAATAAGACTACCTCACAGGTCAGTGTGGAGGCTAGTTGGAAATAAGACTACCTCACAGGTCAGTGTGGAGGCTAGCTGGAAATAAGACTACCTCACACAGGTCAGTGTGGAGGCTAGCTGGAAATAAGACTACCTCACAGGTCAGTGTGGAGGCTAGCTGGAAATAAGACTACCTCACAGGTCAGTGTGGAGGCTAGCTGGAAATAAGACTACCTCACAGGTCAGTGTGGAGGCTAGCTGGAAATAAGACTACCTCACAGGTCAGTGTGGAGGCTAGCTGGAAATAAGACTACCTCACAGGTCAGTGTGGAGGCTAGTTGGAAATAAGACTACCTCACAGGTCAGTTTGGAGGCTAGCTGGAAATAAGACTACCTCACAGGTCAGTGTGGAGGCTAGCTGGAAATAAGACTACCTCACAGGTCAGTGTGGAGGCTAGCTGGAAATAAGACTACCTCACAGGTCAGTGTGGAGGCTAGTTGGAAATAAGACTACCTCACAGGTCAGTTTGGAGGCTAGCTGGAAATAAGACTACCTCACAGGTCAGTGCGGAGGCTAGCTGGAAATAAGCTTGACATTTCCATGCAAAGATCCCTTAAAAAACGTACTGATGAGATGTTGGCACCAGAGGACATAGAAAGGTTGGCTAAGGGTGTTCTGGCCATCCAGTTTCCGGGCTCTCCAGACAACATCCGCTCCATGATCCAGAACATCCGGGGCGTGCTGGCCAACTTCACTGAGTTCAAGGAGGATCTGAAATACCTGGAGGACCAAACCAAGACAGCCCAAGACCTACTGGAGAATGCTCTGGATATCAGGTTAGCCAGTACCACATACTGAATATGAGTGACTGTCACATTCTATAAACCTTTCTGCTAAATGACCATATTTGTACCATGGTTGTCAATGTATTAGGGACAGAACCAAGGGTACTGATGTTATGGATATCAAGAAAGCCATAGCGGACACTGAGAAAGCACAGGACAAGGTTGAGCAAGATCTGGAGAAGGCTACGGAAAGCAATGACATGGCGGACGAGATGATTAAAGAGGTAATTCTCTCTCTCTCTCTCTTTCTATCTTTCTCACTCACTCTCTCTCTCTTTCTCCAACTCTCCCTCTCTCTCTACCCATTCCTGCTTGTTCGTATTTGTATTAGTCTAAACATCCATCAGACATTCATACTCTTCAGCTCTCAGAAGAAAGTATGTTCTTTCTCATAACTGGGCCCCGTGTAGCTCAGTTGGTAGAGCATGATGCTTGCAACGCCAGGGTTGTGGGTTCATTTCCCACGGGAGGCCAGTATGAAAAATGTATGCACTCACTAACTGTAAGTCGCTCTGGATAAGAGCGTCTGCTAAAATGACTAAAATGTAAAGAAATAACTGTATATATCTGTCATGGCCCCCAGATTGAGAAGAAACTGAACAACACAGAGACTAACTTTAACTCCACTAGACCTCCAGAGATGCTGGAGGAGATTGAGGCTCTGAAGAAGAAGACAGAGATGAACAGAGAGCAGGTGGAGCAGGCCAAAGCTGATACTAACACAGCCCTGGGTAGCGCTACTGACACAGAGAAGGTACAGTTGAAGTCAGTAGTTTACATACACTTAGGTTGGAGTCATTAAAACTTGTTTTTCAACCACGCCACACATTTCTTGTTAACAAACTATAGTTTTGGCAAGTTGGTTAGGACATCTACTTTGTGCATGACACAAGTAATTTTTCCATCAGTTGTTTACATTTTTCACTTATAATTCACTGTATCACAATTCCAGTGGGTCAGAAATGTACATACACTAAGTTGACTGTGCCTTTAAACAGCTTGGAAATTCCAGAAAATGATGTCATGGCTTTAGAAGCTTCTGATAGGCTAATTTACATCATTTGAATCAATTGGAGGTGTACCTGTGGATGTATTTCAAGGGCTACCTTCAAACTCAGAGCCTCTTTGCTTGACATCATGGGAAAATCAAAAGAAATCAGCCAAGCCCTCCACAAGTCTGGTTCATCCTTTGGAGTAATTTCCAAACGCCTGAAGGTACCACGTTCATCTGTACAAACAATAGTACGCAAGTATAAACACCATGGGACCACGCAGCCGTCAAACCGCTCAGGAAGGAGACGCGTTCTGTCTCCTAGAGATGAACGTACTTTGGTGCGAAAAGTGCAAATCAATCCCAGAACAACAGCAAAGGACCTGGTGAAGATGCTGGAGGAAACGGGTACAAAGTATCTATATCCACAGTAAAACGGGTCCTATATCGACGTAACCTGAAAGGCCGCTCAGCAAGGAAGAAGCCACTGTTCCAAAACCACCAAAGAAAGCCAGACTACGGTTTGCAACTGCACATGGGGACAAAGATCATACTTTTTGGAGAAATGTACTCTGGTCTGATTAAACAAAAATAGTACTGTTTGGCCATAATGACCATCATTATGTTTGGAGGAAAAAGGGGGACGCTTGCAAGCCGAAGAACACCATCCCAACCGTGAAGCACGGGGGTGGCAGCATCATGCTGTGGGGGTGCTTTGCTGCAGGAGGGACTGGTGCACTTCACAAAATAGATGGCATCATGAGGAAGGAAAATGATGTGGATATATTGAAGCAACATCTGAAGACATCAGTCAGGAAGTTAAAGCTTGGTCGCAAATGGGTCTTCCAAATGGACAATGACCCCAAGCATACTTCCAAAGTTGTGGCAAAATGGCTTAAGGACAACAAAGTCAAGGTATTGGAGTGGCCATCACAAAGCCCTGACCTCAATCCTATAGAAAATGTGTGGGCAGAACTGAAAAAGCGTGTGCGAGCAAGAAGGCCTACAAACCTGACTCAGTTACACCAGCTCTGTCAGGAGGAATGGGCCAACATTCATTCAACTTATTGTGGGAAGCTTGTGGAAGGCTACCCGAAATGTTTGTCCCAAGTTATTCTGACATTTCACATTCTTAAAATAAAGTGGTGATCCTAACTGACCTAAAACAGGGCATTTTTACTAGGATTAAATGTCAGGAATTGTGAAAAACTGAGTTTAAATGTATTTGGTTAAGGTGTATGTAAACTTCCGACTTCAACTGTATGTTGTGTGTGTCCACTTACTAACCACAACTAACTACTCACCAACCAGTAACCACTGACCACTACTAACTACTCAACAACCAACAACCACTGACCACTACTAACTACTCACCAACCAGCAACCACTGACCCCAACTATCTACTCACCAACCAGCAACCATTGACCCCAACTAACTACTCACCAACCACTGACCCCTACTAAATACTCACCAACCACTGACCACTACTAACTACTCGCCAACCAGCAACCACTGACCAGTACTAACTACTCACTGACCACTACTAACTACTCACCAACCACTGACCACTACTAACTACTAACCAACCACTGACCACTACTAACTACTCATCAACCACTGACCACTACTAACTACTCATCAACCACTGACCACTACTAACTACTCACCAACCACTGACCACTACTAACTACTCACCAACCACTGACCACTACTAACTACTCATCAACCACTGACCACTACTAACTACTCACCAACCACTGACCACTACTAACTACTCACCAACCACTGACCACTACTAACTACTCATCAACCACTGACCACTACTAACTACTCATCAACCACTGACCACTACTAACTACTCACCAACCACTGACCCCTATTAACTACTCACCAACCAGCAACCACTGACCACTACTAACTATTCACCAACCACTGACCACTACTAACTACTCATCAACCACTGACCACTACTAACTACTCGCCAACCAGCAACCACTGACCAGTACTAACTACTCACTGACCAATACTAACTACTCACCAACCACTGACCCCTACTAACTACTCACCAACCACTGACCCCTACTAACTACTCACCAACCACTGACCACTACTAACTACTAACCAACCACTGACCACTACTAACTACTCATCAACCACTGACCACTACTAACTACTCACCAACCACTGACCCCTATTAACTACTCACCAACCAGCAACCACTGACCACTACTAACTATTCACCAACCACTGACCACTACTAACTACTCATCAACCACTGACCACTACTAACTATTCATCAACCACTGACCACTACTAACCAACCACTGACCACTACTAACTACTCATCAACCACTGACCACTACTAACTACTCACCAACCACTGACCACTACTAACTACTCATCAACCACTGACCACTACTAACTACTAACCAACCAGCAACCAATGACCACTACTAACTACTCACTAACCACTGACCACTACTAACTACTCACCAACCAGCAACCACTGACCACTACTAACTACTCACCAACCAGCTTACCACTTACTTATTTACAATCTCACTTTGGTACTACGTGGTGATACTGTGAGTATAAAACTAAGTAGGTATGAGTTTTAGTTTTTCTCTGACTTATTTGCCAGAAGCTTGAAAAGGTGACAGAGCTGTTTGATAAGCTAAAGGAGGGAAACACAAACCAGGACAGTAATGAAGTGGTCATCGAACGCCTAAAGAACATTACTATGGAGGCAGAGAAAATCACAAAATATGTTCAAGATAAAATTCAACAAATTGGCGATAAGTCTGAGACCTTAATGGGGCAATCTAAAATTGGTCATTTAGCAGACACTCTTATCCAGAGCGACTTACATTTAGTGAGTGCATACATTTTACTTCACTACATTCCTAAAGAAAATAATGTACTTTTTACTCCATCCATTTTCTCTGTATCCAAAATTACTCATTACATTTTAATGCTTAGCAGGACAGTCAAATGTTTCCAATTCACGCGCTTATCAAGAGAAAATCCCTGGTCATCCCTACCGCCTCTGATCTGGCAGACTCAGTAAATACACATGCTTCGTTTGTAAATGATGTCTGAGTGTTGGAGTGTGCCCTTGGCTTTCCCTAAATAACAAATTATTTTAAAAAATGGAACCATCTGGTTTGCACAATATAAAAGATTTGAAATGATTTTTACTTTTGATACTTAAGTATATTTTAGCAATTACATTTACTTTTGATACTTGAGTATATTTAAATCCAAATACTTTTAGACTTTTACTCCAGTATTTTACTGGGTGACTTTCACTTTTACTTGAGTCATTTTCTATTAAGGTATCTTTACTTTTACTCAAGTGTGACAATTGGGTACTCTGTCAATTCAAGAGATTTAAATTACATTCATGCATAGATCAAATTCTCAATGAAAGATATGGGTAATGGAATTGACCCCAAACCCTGACCAGTAGTAGTCAAATAAGTTAATTGCTATAATAATTATCTGATCTTGTATGTGCCAAATGGCATGGATATGTATTTATTTTTACATATTTAACTTTTATTTCATTTATTCTGTTTATTTAATTCACTTATTGAAGACATGCTTAAAAGGGTCTGTGTTTGGAACCTGTTCCTACTCTGATGTCATGTCAAACATGGGTTCTCTCAGGTTCTAGGTTGTATTGTGTAAAATGAATTTCCTCACATACAGTTTATTGCAGCTAGACTGGGAAAGTCCCTTCTCTTTCCTCTCTACCTTTCGAGTTTTGCAACTGAATTTAAGAATGTAGTTTTCCTAATCCTCCACATGGGGGCATGTGGTGATCATAAAACTGACGGAGTTGAGCACGAAGCCCCTCCTTACTATTTTGTGATATGTATTATTATGTTTCAAGCTGACCTAATTATCTGCTTACATGATCGTTGATGTTAAAAAGAGGTAAAAGCTTTTATGGGAACCTTTTTCAGGTTTCAAGTTATTCTACCTCTAACTTTTTTTCCAATCCTTTTCCCATTTGTACCCTGGTCTCTGGTGGAAGTAGATCTCTTTGTAAGATTTGGCTGTTATTTTGTGAAACTGTGTAATACTGAATTGGCCTAGTATATACATAGCTTGTTATTGGCCTGAAACAATATTTCCCTCAGCCTAGCTGGAGATGTGATGAGATTAAACACACTATCAGGTTTGGAATGGGTCCCTGCTGGGTTTGGAATGCGGCCATTTGTCACAACTCTGGCGCCGGAATGTTCACTCTCTCTTGCCTTTTGTACATTAAATGTACATTGCCCATTTAGAATTGACTTGTAAAATCCTAGATGTCTGTTGCTTTAAACTCCAGCATACACTTTCAGACTCTTGCTACCTCTCTCTCTCTCTGTCATTCATTCTCTCTCTCTCTCGCACTCTCTCAATACCTCTCTTTCTTTCTCTACCTTTCTACCTCTCACTCTGTCTTTCTCTCTCTCTCTCTGTCATTCTCTCTCTCTCTCACACTCTCTCACTACCTCTCTTTCTTTCTCTACCTTTCTACCTCTCTCTCTGTCTTTCTCTCTCTCTCTCTCTGTCATTCATTCTCTCTCTCTCGCACTCTCTCACTACCTCTCTTTCTTTCTCTACCTTTCTACCTCTCTCTCTGTCTCTCTCTCTCTCTCTCTCTTGCACTCTCTCTCTCTTTCTTTCTCTCTCTCTCTACCTCACTACCTCTCTTTCCAGGTCACTGCCCATTCTAGTTGTGGGGAGAACACACACCACTTACTTCTCATGTACTTTCCATCCAGCCGTTAATGTTTACGTTCCATCCAGCCGTTAATGGTTAAGTTCCATGTTTGTTTCGCTTCAGTAAGACTTTGTGCTCAATACAATTGAACCAAGTTAGCAGCCTTTATATCCAGGTCCTAGATCTGCATATGCTTGTGCCAACTCTTCTATCAGACTAATAACACGACAGAGAGGAGTTGGCTAACAAAGCATAAACGGATCTGAAGCCAGTCTGCAGTTTTTTCATCGGTAGCATTGAATGATGCTTCTCACAAAAGTCAAATGAAGTTGAAGAATGGTTGTATCAATGAGGTACATCACAGGTAGATGGATATATTTTATTCAAAATAAATATATGGATAGAAGTTGAACAATTTCCAGGTCTATTGTTTGCTCTAATCCTATAGTGACTCTTGGGGGTGAGTTCCATCTCATACCCCCCAGGGGAGAGTTAGCCCACTCACCCCTAAGCATGTGTCTTAGACTGGGGTCTGAATTCCCTCCCTGCCCCCTGGTCGTGTTTTTAGACATGAGGAATTCACAGACCACTAATGGCTCTGCCTAATTGCAGGTTGCCACTGATCCACTGCATTTAAGATTAGAGGAAATATCACCAGTGATGCAGCTAATTACAGAAGAAGGAGATGATTATTTGAGAACCTTTTTTAACCTTTGTGGTTTTTGGTTGCGTCTGTCTGTTCTTGAATGGACAGATTGTGGTATTTCTTGCCTGTCTGTTGTATTTCTTATCATGCATTATTAGGAATTAATTCAGAATGAGATTTAGATGTCACTGTATTAGCCTAATGTAATGAAGACTTTATCTTTGCAAGTGAGACCCCTTTTCTGTGTTTTAGGATTAATCTTGATGTTATTTTCAGCAGTAAACCAAGGAATGGTTCTTGAATACCACAAGTCATGTCTTTCTTTCTTCAATATGCTCAGTGACTGTGAACATAGTATAGTTTCTCGGACTCAAAAACCTCATTGAATCTGTTCCTACAGTCGCCCTCTTGTCTTTTCAAAGATAATTGAATTAGAACTGCCACCCTGTTTCTCCTCCAGCTATGGTTGGAGCTGCTGCTGCTGCCACACACACACACACACACACACACAGTGACATATAATTAAGGTTGTAGCTTCTTCACTGTAGGTGATAGTTTAGTGTTTGGGTAATCTGTGATTACCAACAACTGTACAGGAAAGTTTTAAATTCCAATAATAGGGCAAGACTTAACAGAACATGATTTGGAGTTCCACTTGGCGCAGGGGAAACACTGTTCAAGGCTCTCTTAACCTCATTTCTCTTCAGTACAGTAAATTAGTAGTATGGCTTCAGTAACTATAGTATCCCTGCTTTACCTGTGCCTAGGGACATATAGGGCAGCTTCCTGCCTTTAGTGGAGGAATGTCCTTTGTTCTAGATGAGTAGGTCTAGGTGGGGGTTGGTATCTGAGAGAGAAGACCTTTACAATCCCATCAAATGTGTGAGTTTGAACTTTCTCTCAATGTGAGCAGAGTGAGATGCTGTCAACATGATCCTTCTGCTCCAAATAATCTGACACATTTTAGATAGATACAGGTAATGATTGATCTATTATGTAATTGGTAGTCAAACTGTACAAGTTAGTTGATGAGCATTTGTAGCTGCTGGTTGTAGGACTTTACTGGATTTATCCAATAGAGGCTTTGGGGGAGGGCGAGATACACCCTGTGCGCATGCTTGAGGAGAGAGGGACAGAGAAAAAAAAACTCAGTTTTCTCAGTTGTTGAGTGGAGCAGTCAGTGGGGTAGCAGGCCAAGAAAAAGCGTGAGGAGCAAATCGCTACCATAAGGAACCGCACACAGTCCCACGGAGAGGAAGCGCAACAGCAGATAAAAGGTGGAAATATCAACAGAAATGTTGATATTTCAAATGGCGACCCTGCTATGTAAGTTTATTATTTTTAACATTTTGAAATGTTTTCTGTAGAACGGATATCCAACATTGAGGTAACTGAAAGTGCATAATGATAAACTTTGCATGTAGCCTAATGAAGAAAATACAATTAGTTATATTTATAGGGATATTAGTTCTAAAAGTTGAAATAGTCAACGTTTCGTAGGCTAATTTCATTCATCATATGTGGAGTTGTTTGTAATTTTTGTTTGACTATGACACATATTGTTCTTGTTATAAACTCGGCATGAAACAATTAAAGAACTTCATGTGGCATTAATATAAATCAAAGACCCATGGAAATGGTAGGCTTATATCCTGTTTTTCAGATTGTGTTTTCGACTATAAAGTTCATTTTTATTATGGAGGCCTATCCTAGTTTTAAAAGTTTTACGAACAGGGAGACCAAAGTTCTGAGCACTTTTCGTTAGTATTTTATTCTAATACTTAGGCAATTTGATCTAATAGCCTAATTATCTTTGATATTTTGTACAATAAAACATCACTCCACAACCTGTATTGGATAAATCCCATTGTTCAATATTGCCTCTTCTTTGTGTAGCCGCAGGGGCGTGCGTCCTTGCCCAGGTACCAGAGTTCAGCGATGTGTGCACGGAGGGGAGCTGCTACCCCGCCACGGGAGACCTTCTCATCGGCAGAGCCCACCAACTCTCCGCCAACTCCACATGCGGCCTCCACCGGCCCGAGCCGTTCTGTATCGTCAGTCATTTACAGGTAAATGCTTCTGGCACAAGTACAGAGCACATTTGCACTAGGCCCATGTGTTATTATAGGCCTATAGACTTCATTAACTATCACACAAATATTGTTATGCCAAGTTGACAACAGTGCAATCAATGATCAAGGTGGTGCTGCTATCAATATGATTCGTTATTATTTCAGTGGCAGGAGTGCGTAAAAGTACCGATATTCAATATTCACGATAAGCAGAGGATTTGTTGTGCCTCTGGGCAAGTCTCTCGTTCATGCCTGTAGTAGCGAGGTAGATAAGCAATACATAGATAGGCGCCATAATAAAGCATTCCTGGAATTGCTAACCTGAGGGTGTTTGTTCTTGGAAATGGGAAAGATAGTTTTGACCTTGTGAAAATTTGTGTTGAGAATAAAATGGTGCTATATTCATTGTCTTGCATGCCTGGAGGGGGATTCCTTTCCCAAGTAGTCTAGGCTACTGCTAAACAAAGTAACAAAGTGCAAAGAGGCACAAAACAAGCTATGAGGTTAACTCATAATTAAACATTAATTACAGTATCACATATTAAATGATAACATTGTTTCATTTCCTCAGTAAGAAAGATCCACTATTTATTTTAATGGGGAATAAATGCATGCTCAAAATTAAAATGATCTTGCCTTTGGCAATTTGGCTTTCAGATTTCATAATAACTACTGTAAGGTTTACAGTCAATCCCTTGTCTGTTGGGGGTGGAATATATACATGGGATATATTCCAAATATCCCTTGGGCTTTTATTGTCAATACAAGGACTTCCTTTCACATATTTTTTATTAAACTCCTGCTTTCTCAATGTGAGCGTAGGAGTGGGAAAGATCTTTAGGATTTGGGAAGGATTGGTTTAGGAGTCACACGACCCTCTGAGTTGTCTAGACTGCTTCCTGGATCACAGAATCATTCTAGAAGCGTTATTAAGGTTCAGACCAACAATGACTTCAATGACTTGAAAGTGGCTGTGCCAGCAGCTTGGATGCATGGGGGCTCATTGTACTGACACAGACATTCCGTGGTTAAAGATATCCAAACTCTCAAACAACCTTCTCTTGGACACTTGAGTAGCCACCATCAAATACTTTTGCCCCTTACATGAAAATAAATGTTTGCCTTGCTTGAGACATCATCCTGTTTGATCAGTATCCACCTAAATCAAATGTACTAGAAATGGCTGATTCTTGTTCTCCACCACCTTAACTGTAGATTATTTGTGAATACTTCTATGATGTGTTGAGCATCTATTTAAAGCAGGGGTGTCAAATTCATTCCATGGAGGGCCGAGTGTCTGCAGGTTTGAGTTTTTACCTTTCAATTAAGCCCTAGACAACCAGGTGTGGGGAGTTCCTTACTAATCAGTGAACTTAATTCATCAATCAAGTACATGGGAGGAGCGAAAACCCGCAGACACTCGGCCCTCCGTGGAATGAGTTTGATACATGTGATTTAAAGTATGTTATGCCCTGAGCATGCAAACGTTTTAAGATGGAAATCTAATCTAATACAATTAATTTAATTTATGTCACCACTGAAGGAGAGAGAAACCAGATCGTGTCAGTGAAAGACGTGATCCAACAGGGTTACATTTCTTATCAAACAAATATCTATGTACTGAAATTAAAATCTAAGTGTGTGGCTGTGGGCACACTTCTGTTGCATGGTCTGGATGTATAGAATGTTTACAATCTTGTAAAGTTGTTTTCTTGTCAAGTGAAGTGGTGAAAAGACGTTGGAAGGACATCCAGATGGTGCTGAATTTGAACCCTTGAGCATGTGTACACATTCACACACACACACACACACACACAAGCACACATAGTGTGTTTTCTGAACATCTGGTGGCCAAATGAAGCCTGCGTTGTCAGCAACCTACGGTAAGCCTTCACTGATGAGAGTGAGACCAGGGCAAAACAGACTCCTCCTTTTAAAATAGTTAAAGCCCTATTTGGCTCAATCACTACTTTCAGCATCTATATCTGCTCTTGATAAAAGACCCAATTTCAACGACTTCTGTATGAAAGGGCTCTTCAAAGATGTTCATTATGTGTACCCTTCGCTGATTGGGAGAAATCTGCTTGGTATCCCAAAAATCCCACAGACAATTTAATCTCTCTCCCTTTCTCCCAATCTTCACGGTCTCTTCAGGAGGAGAAGAAATGCTTTGTGTGTGACTCCACCGACGTCTATGTCAAAAGTGTGGTGAATGCCACCACCGGCCACCGGGTGGAGAATGTCGTGACCACATTCGCCCCCAACCGCCTGAAAACCTGGTGGCAGTCAGAGAATGGTGAGTTCTCGTGGGGAAAAAATTGTGGACGGCTAGTAAGCAGACTAGTTCAATTAAAGGTGACTCTATCTTCCTTTCCCCCCTCTCGGTATATTTTCACCCTCCAATCCCTTAGCTAACCCCTTTAATCAATGTGAGGGGAGACATCAAAGAGAAAGCAGTAATGGCTGACTAAGACGATGACCAGTCTGTCAACTTTGGAATGACAGGATTAACCCATGGGGAATGATTACCTAGGTGGCTGTTAGATGAGGCTGGGTTACACCCTGTGTACACCATGTATGCAGGGTTCCCCAACTGGCAGCCCGTGGGCCGAATTTGTCCCGCGGGTGGCTTTATTTGGCCCCCCAAGTTTTCTGAGCAAAATAATATATACAGTGGGGAGAACAAGTATTTGATACACTGCCGGTTTTGCAGGTTTTCCTACTTACAAAGCATGTAGAGGTCTGTAATTTTTATCATAGGTACACATCAACTGTGAGAGACGGAATCTAAAACAAAAATCCAGAAAATCACATTGTATGATTTTTAAGTAATTAATTTGCATTTTATTGCATGACATACAGTGGGGAGAACAAGTATTTGATACACTGCCGATATTGCAGGTTTTCCTACTTACAAAGCATGTAGAGGTCTGTAATATTTATCATAGGTACACTTCAACTGTGAGAGACGGAATCTAAAACAAAAATCCAGAAAATCACATTGTATGATTTTTAAGTAATTAATTTGCATTTTATTGCATGACATACAGTGGGGAGAACAAGTATTTGATACACTGCCGATATTGCAGGTTTTCCTACTTACAAAGCATGTAGAGGTCTGTAATATTTATCATAGGTACACTTCAACTGTGAGAGACGGAATCTAAAACAAAAATCCAGAAAATCACATTGTATGATTTTTAAGTAATTAATTTGTATTTTATTGCATGACATAAGTATTTGATACATCAGAAATGCAGAACTTTATATTTGGTACAGAAACCTTTGTTTGCAATTACAGAGATCCTACGTTTCCTGTAGGTCTTGACCAGGTTTGCACACACTGCAGCACGGATTTTGGCCCACTCCTCCATACAGACCTTCTCCAGATCCTTCAGGTTTCGGGGCTGTCGCTGGGCAATACGGACTTTCAGCTCCCTCCAAAGATTTTCTATTGGGTTCTGGTCTGGAGACTGGCTAGGCCACTCCAGGACCTTGAGATGCTTCTTACGGAGCCACTCCTTAGTTGCCCTGGCTGTGTGTTTCGGGTCGTTGTCATGCTGGAAGACCCAGTCACGACCCATCTTCAATGCTCTTACTGAGGGAAGGAGGTTGTAGGCCAAGATCTCGCGATACATGGCCCCATCCATCCTTCCCTCAATACGGTGCAGTCGTCCTGTCCCCTTTGCAGAAAAGCAACCCCAAAGAATGATGTTTCCACCTGCATGCTTCACGGTTGGGATGGTGTTCTTGGGGTTGTACTCATCCTTCTTCTTCCTCCGAACACGGCGAGTGGAGTTTAGACCAAAAAGCTCTATTTTTGTCTCATCAGACCACATGACCTTCTCCCATTCCTCCTCTGGAACATCCAGATGGTCATTGGCAAACTTCAGACGGGCCTGGACATGCGCTGGCTTGAGCAGGGGGACCTTGCATGCGCTGCAGGATTTTAATCCATGACGGCGTAGTGTGTTACTAATGGTTTTCTTTGAGACTGTGGTCCCAGCTCTCTTCAGGTCATTGACCAGGTCCTGCCGTGTAGTTCTGGGCTGATCCCTCACCTTCCTCTATGATCATTGATGCCCCACGAGGTAAGCTCTTGCATGGAGCCCCAGACCGAGGGTGATTGACCGTCATCTTGAACTTCTTCCATTTTCTAATAATTGCGCCAACAGTTGTTGCCTTCTCACCATGCTGTTTGCCTATTGTCCTGTAGCCCATCCCAGCCTTGTGCAGGTCTACAATTGTATCCCTGATGTCCTTACACGGCTCTCTGGTCTTGGCCATTGTGGAGAGGTTGGAGTCTGTTTGATTGAGTGTGTGGACAGGTGTCTTTTATACAGGTAACGAGTTCAAACAGGTGCAGTTAATACAGGTAATGAGTGGAGAACAGGAGGGACATACAAGACCACTGAAAAATCCCAGAACCACACGGGGGGACCTAGTGAATGACCTGCAGAGAGCTGGGACCAAAGTAACAAAGCCTACCATCAGTAACACACTACGCCGCCAGGGACTCAAATCCTGCAGTGCCAGACGTGTCCCCCTGCTTAAGCCAGTAAATAATAATAATAATAATATGCCATTTAGCAGACGCTTTTATCCAAAGCGACTTACAGTCATGCGTGCATACATTTTTTTTTTTTGTTCTTTTTTTTTTTTGTGTATGGGTGGTCCCGGGGATCGAACCCACTACCTTGGCGTTACAAGCGCCGTGCTCTACCAGCTGAGCTACAGAGGACCACAGTACATGTCCAGGCCCGTCTGAAGTTTGCTGGAGTGCATTTGGATGATCCAGAAGAGGATTGGAGAATGTCATATGGTCAGATGAAACCAAAATAGTTTTGGTAAAAACTCAACTCGTCGTGTTTGGAGGACAAAGAATGCTGAGTTGCATCCAAAGAACACCATACCTACTGTGAAGCATAGGGGGTGGAAACATCATGCTTTGGGGCTGTTTTTCTGCAAAGGGACCAGGACGACTGATCCGTGTAAAGGAAAGAATGAATGGGGCCATGTATCATGAGATTTTGAGTGAAAACCTCCCATCAGCAAGGGCATTGAAGATGAAACGTGGCTGGGTCTTTCAGCATGACAATGATCCCAAACACACCGCCCGGGCAACGAAGGAGTGGCTTCGTAATAAGCATTTCAAGGTCCTGGAGTGGCCTAGCCAGTCTCCAGATCTCAACTCCATAAAAAATCTTTGGAGGGAGTTGAAAGTCTGTGTTGCCCAGCGACAGCCCCAAAACATCACTGCTCTAGAGGAGATCTGCATGGAGGAATGGGCCAAAATACCAGCAGCAGTGTGTGAAAACCTTGTGAAGACTTACAGAAAACGTTTGACCTGTGTCATTGCCAACAAAGGGTATATAACAAAGTATTGAGAAACTTTTGTTATTGACCAAATACTTATTTTCCACCATAATTTGCAAATAAATTCATTAAAAATCCTATAATGTGATTTTCTGGAATTGTTTTCCTCATTTTGTCTGTCATAGTTGACGTGTACCTATGATGAAAATTACAGGCCTCTCATCTTTTTAAGTGGGAGAACTTGCACAATTGGTGGCTGACTAAATACATTTTCCCCCACTGTATATATAGAGATTTTTTTTTATTGTTGGACATAATAGACTAAAAACACCAGGAAATCAGCTCCAAGTAATTTTAATTTAAGAAATCTGTTCCCAAGTATTCCCACGCATAATAGAGAGAAACATGTGATCGTATACAAATATAAGCAAGGTTTGAAATGATGTTTTAGTCAAACATTACACTCCTGAGTGGCGCAGTGGTCTAAGGCACTGCATCGCAGTGCTAACTGTGCCACTAGAGATCCTGGTTCGAATCCAGGCTCTGTCGCAGCCGGCCGCGACCGGGAGACTCATGGGCGGCGCACATTGGCCCAGCGTCGTCCAGGGTAGGGGAGGGAATGGCCGGCAGGGATGTAGCTTAGTTGATAGAGCATGGCGTTTGCAACGCCAGGGTTGTGGGTTCGATTCCCACGGGGGGCCAGTATAAAAAAAATATGTATTCACTAACTGTAAGTCGCTCTGGATAAGAGCGTCTGCTAAATGACTAAAAATGTATCTGTTTGGGCTTCTTGAGGTCAATTTGCCATCTACAAATTATTTGTAATTATGTTCCCGACCATCCGCTCAAAAAAATATCGGCCCACATCTGAATCTAGTTGATGATCCCTGAAGTAATGGATGTTAATAAGAGAGTTTTCACTTCTTACCATGTCATATGTGAGCATATTGGCTTTGAAGAGTTTTGAACATGGGGTATTCAACTGGGGGTACGCTAAAAATAATAAAAATAATAATATACAGTTGAAGTCGGAAGTTTACATACACTTAGGTTGGAGTCATTAAAACTTGTTTTTCAACCACTCCACACATTTCTTGTTAACCAACAACAGTTTTGGCAAGTCGGTTAGGACATCTACTTTGTGCATGACACAAGTAATTTTTCAATAATTGTTTACAGACTGATTATTTCACTTATAATTCACTGTATCACAATTCCAGTGGGTCAGAAGTTTACATACACTAAGTTGACTGTGCCTTTAAACAGCTTGGAAAATTCCAGAAAATTATGTCATGGCTTTAGAAGCTTCTGATAGGCTAATTGACATCATTTGAGTCAATTGGAGGTGTACCTGTGGATGTATTTCAAGGCCTACCTTCAAACTCAGTGCCTGTTTGCTTGACATCATGGGAAAATCAAAAGAAATCAGCCAAGACCTCCACAAGTCTGGTTCATCCTTGGGAGCAATTTCTAAACGCCTGAAGGTACCACGTTCATCTGTACAAACAATAGTACGCAAGTATTAACACCATGGGACCGCGCAGCCGTCATACCGCTCAGGAAGGAGACGCATTCTGTCTTCTAGAGATGAACGTACTTTGGTGCGAAAAGTGCAAATCAATCCCAGAACAACAGCAAAGGACCTTGTGAAGATGCTGGAGGAAACAGGTACAAAAGTATCTATATCCACAGTAAAACGAGTCCTATATCGACATAACCTGAAAGGCCGCTCAGCAAGGAAGAAGCCACTGCTCCAAAACCACCATAAAAAAGCCAGACTACGGTTTGCAACTGCACATGGGGACAAAGATCGTACTTTTTGGAGAAATGTCCTCTGGGCTGATGAAACAAAAATATAACTGTTTGGCCATAATGACCATCGTTATGTTTGGAGGAAAAAGTGGGTGCTTGCAAGCCGAATTACACCATCCCAACTGTGAAGCACGGGTGGCAGCATCATGCTGTGGGGGTGCTTTGCTGCAGGAGGGACTGGTGCACTTCACAAAATAGATGGCATCATGAGGAAGGAAAATTATGTGGATATATTGAAGCAACATCTGAAGACATCAGTCAGGAAGTTAAAGCTTGGTCGCAAATGGGTTTTCCAAATGGACATTGACCCCAAGCATACTTCCAAAGTTGTGGCAAAATGGCTTAAGGACAACAAAGTCAAGGTATTGGAGTGGCCATCACAAAGCCCTGACCTCAATTCTATAGAAATATGTGTGCAGAACTGAAAAAGCGTGTGCGAGCAAGGAGTCCTACAAACCTGACTCAGTTACACCAGCTCTGTCAGGAGGAATGGGCCAAAATTCACCCAACTTATTGTGGGAAGCTTGTGGAAGGCTACCAGAAACGTTTGACCCAAGTTAAACAATTTAAAGGCAATGCTACCAAATACTAATTGAGTGTATGTAAACTTCTGACCCACTTGGAATGTGATGAAATAAACAAAAGCTGAAATAAATCATTCTCTCTACTATTATTCTGACATTTCACATTCTTAAAATAAAGTGGTGATCCTAACTGACCTAAGGCAGGGAATTTTTACTGGGATTAAATGTCAGGAATTGTGAAAAACTGAGTTTAAATGTATTTGGCAAAGGTGTATGTAAACTTTCGACTTCAACTGTATATACTGTATATGGGGGTTTCCCTCACAATGTTTTTATTAATATTGCTAGCAAAAACAGAAAAAAATCATTTCAAATTACATACAGTAGAAAATACATATCTTCTTTCTAATGATGTCAACTTTATTTCTCAACTCTTAATATTGAGCAAATTACTCTCATTGGAGCTAATTACAGTATCTGACATAGGCTTAGAAAAAGCACCTGCGAATAGTCTACCAGTGTGGCAAGTGCCGCTGTCTGCTGGAAAACTTTCCTAATTTGGACATACATTTTTGCCAACACATGGCTAACCTTTGTTTAAACAGCTGCTTTTAGCGAAAATGTGTTTGGAGTTACCTTTCTAACTAATAGGCTATGTTAGAGTTTACACTTCCTCTTCCAATTATAATGTAGGGAGGTAAAAATTATGAAAAACTATCTACCAAATCTATTCGTTTCAAAATGTTGACTACTTCTCCTTACCATTATCATTCACCTGATGAAATGACAAAACATGTGCAAAAAAATGTTTTGCTAACATATGATGGGGGTACCTGGGTCGCCAGTTTGCCTGGGAGGGTGTCCCTCGGCAAGAACAGGTTGAAGACCCCTGGTTTTGAAGCATTGTTAATGATTACTAGGAGGCCAAAAGCATTGAAATCGTCCCCAACTTAGATACAAATTCAGCTATCCCAAGTGCATCTTGCCTTGAAAGAGTTAACTCCCAAAAAGTGCTGCAAGGTTATTAGATTCAGAAAGTAATCTGATAGGAGTTTGGGGAGGTTTAGCCGAGGAAAAAGCGGTGGGAATATTTCTCCGGAAGAGCAGGAAGGAGGTTAATATTCACTAGTGGAGCAGCCAACTCCACAGATGGGCCTGGGAAAAGAGACAGGGAATTTCCATTCATAATCCAGACTATATTGTACTAGATCCTATAGATCCACTCTATTACAACACAGTCCCAGTAGACCCCAGCTCAAAGCACAACCCCTCTTACTACCTTTTCGAACGGCCTTCTCCTCGAAAGCTGTGCAAGACCATCGCCCAAGAACAGCCAGATCCTACTACATTTGTTTTGTTAAATTGTATTTTGTTTGTTTTGTTTTTAAAGCGACTTTGAGATTCTACTTGTAATGGAAAAGCGCTATATAAAATAAATTTATTATTATTATTACAATTATAATTATTATAAGCACAGATGAGGTTCCCCCAAAACTAATGTAAAACTGACACCTAACTGTCCCATTCTACAATATAAGATGGGGAGGGGAACGCATTAGTGCTTAGTTGCTGAACTGGGTGTTGTTGTTAAAGTAACGCATGAATTTCATTTAGTCTAATGATGAGTTTCAACATTTTCTCTTGTTATACATCGTTGCATATTGATAAGTGGTGGCTTGTTAAACAATAAACATAGCCTATTAATATTAGTTTCACCAAAGAAATGGGGAGATTTGAAACGGTTACGTTGTTATTTGCTGCTTAACTGCCCAGCAGCTATGCGTAAAACCCACTGCCCCATTTTGTGGCGAAGAAGATGGATGTCAGGAATCAGAAGGGCAGCCATGAGCTTTATATCATAGAACAGAACCAACCATGATAAGACTATGGAGGGAGAGGTGAAGAGTTAATGCATGTTTTCTGGTCCAGAATAAGAACTGTGAAGAGTGGATAAGTGTCATGTAGAGTTAACCATTCCAGCTTGTGTTATGCTTGGCTCCAGTGGAACCATGTATGTACACTCATGTTTTTGTTTCTCTCTCTCCACCCTCTCTGACTTCATCACTTTTTTAAAAATGTAATTCTTCCCTTGCCTTTTGAACCTCTCTTTTTGCTCTGTCCCCTCTCTCTCTCTCCTTTTTTCATTTGTTTTCTCTTTCCCTCTTCCCTTTCCCCCGCTTCCTCCTTCTCTCCCTAGGTCTTGAGAAAGTGACCATCCAGCTGAACTTGGAGGCAGAGTTTCATTTCACCCACCTCATCATGACCTTCAAGGTAACCAATGGGGAGGCCGGGTCAGAGGGCTCAATGTGGGGGAGCGTGGGTAGTGTGTAAGGGGATGCTGGCTGGACCGTCTACTCTGCAGATTATCACAAGGCTCGGCCTCTTGGGAGATCTACCACACACACATTTACATTTTAGTCATTTAGCAGACGCTCTTATCCAGAGTTCGATTCCCCCCCGTGGGAATCGAACCCACAACCCTGGCGTTGCAAACACCATGCTCTACCAACTGAGCTACATCCCTGCTGGCCATTCCCTCCCCTACCCTGGGCCAATTGTGCGCCGCCCCATGGGTCTCCGTCGCGGCCGGCTACAACAGAGCCTGGATTCGAACCAGGATCTCTAGTGGCACAGCTAGCACTGCGATGAAGTGCCTTAGACCACTGCGCCACTCGGGACACACGCAGTGCACACACACAAACACACACACACACACCTCCCCAGCTGTGTGTGAGCCTGAGGAATGGAGAACAGACCGCCCAACCGTCTGGGATTGTTCGCTCCACACAGATCTGGCCTGTATCACTTTACTCACAATTGCAGCTAATTTTGCTTTTCACAGTCCCCAGGTCCAGAACAAATTCAAGGAAACGTACAGTATTATACAGAGCCATGAGTGCATGGAACTCCCTTACATCTTATATAGCGCAAGTGAACAGCAAACCTAGTTTCAAAAAACAAATAAAGCAACATCTCACGGCACAACGCCTCTGCCCCATGTGACCTACTTGTTGTGTGTATGTACTGACATGTATGTGTAACTGATAGATGCACACACATACTACATGTTAAGTATTTTGTCTGTAATGTCTTCTCGTTAAATGTCGGACCCCTGTAAGACTAGCTATCACCATTGGCGTTGGGTAATGGGGAGCCTAATAAATCAAATTGAATGAGTAGGTATGTCCAAACTTTTGACTGGTGCTGTATATCACCAAGATGCATAAGTATGGTTTCTCCTCTACGACAGACCTTCAGGCCTGCTGCCATGGTGATTGAGCGGTCAGCTGACTTTGGGCAGAACTGGCAGGTGTACCGCTACTTTGCCTATGACTGTGAGTCCGCATTCCCTGCCATATCCTCGGGGCCCATGCAGAAAGTGGATGATGTCATCTGCGATTCACATTACTCCGACATTGAACCATCGACAGAGGGAGAGGTGTGTGTTTTGCATGACTGAGTAATAACTAATTAATAACTAATCACATATATGACATAATATTCTGGATGTGTTGGGAGAAAAGAAGCCATTGAAAAAACGGTGTAATCCCACTGACTGTAAACCCATCTGTCTCTGTAGGTCATCTTCCGAGTTTTGGATCCAGTTTTCCGTATTGAAGATCCCTACAGCCCCAGAATCCAAAGTAAGTTCCAGCGATGATATGTGTACTTAATGATTTATGTCTGCTAATAAGTTCTTATTATTATCCTTCCCATTTTTGGACAAATACCAGCTATGTGTTGCCTATTAGCCAACTATAACTGCAAAGTAAATGTCTACACATAATGACCTCAGGGCTACAAGCTAACGGCTAACAAACGTCTCTTTCTCCTTTAGACATGTTGAAGATCACCAACCTGAGGGTGAAGTTCACCAAGCTGCACACTCTGGGAGACAACCTGCTGGACTCCCGCATGGAGATCAAGGAGAAGTACTACTATGCTGTCTACGACTTGGTGGTCCGGGGTAACTGCTTCTGCTATGGACACGCCTCAGAGTGCGCGCCCGTCGACGGGGCTGGGGATGTTGTCGAGGGCATGGTGAGTTCTCGCTGATAAGATTCTCCTAGTTTTCATCACTTACATAGGCCCACAAACCCACCATCACCCAGTCCCAGAGAGTGCTTGCGCCTTTGTGCCAAAGAAGTGTTGACGAGTGCCTGTTTTGTTTTCTGTAGGACATCAGGTCTCCTTAGGTCAGTGGCAGTCGGTGCCGTTTAAGATGAGGGAGGACGCTCATTTATTTAATGAGCATTGCCTTATTTCTATTACAGCATATTGGATGACTATCATTCATATTCCATTCACCCAGTTCAATGTAATATCGATAGGTTTAGGCTACTACATGATACTCTAATTTTCCCTATACCCATCATGAGGTTGCTACAACCTAGCCTATGAATGAAAGTTTACAACTTAGGTGCACAGGTTGAGAGAAACACTTTGAGTAATCAAGGTGACAGACAGTGGCACATTCAATACCGCCTTGCACACTCTTGCCTGCATCTAGCTCAGGTGTATCAAACTCATTCCACGGAGGGCCAAGTGTCTGAGGGTTTTGGTTTTTCCTTTCAATTAAGACCTAGACAACCAGGTGAGGGGAGTTCCTTACTAATTAGTGACCTTAATTAATCAATTAAGTACAAGGGTGGAGCGAAAACCCGCAGACACTCGGTGATCACATGTGATCTAGCTGATCTTGGATGTAATCATTAGTCCCAACAGTTACAAACAAGAGTTTCTATTCAGGTATGTTTATCCCTGTTTCGTTCCGTTTAAGAAACGTTTTTCAACAGAATCAGCAGAATGAATACACCCATGATCACACTCAAACACAGTTCACTTTCATAGCAGCCACATACAAACAGCATGATCACTTTGCTCGTTAATTCCTTCTCGCATCTACGCGCTCTCCTCCTCTCACCTTTTCCCTTTGCTTGTGGGCTTCAGTGCACAACACATCAGCTATCTGTTACCAGGCAAAAAAAAAATTCCAAGCCAAACCTTCATATCATAACCACTACACACAGCCAACATCGTTGTCAACATATTAGCTAACGGCAGTCAACATAGCTACTAGAACTAACACGTTAGTAAACCCGCTACAATCATGCAGTACAGTGTACAGTTAGCAAGCAGTTTAGCAGTTATACAAGCGGGCCCCGGTGGCAATAAATTAATAAAACCAAAAGCTTAACTTGACTTGGAAAAGTTCCAGTGTTGGATAGCCATAGCCAGCTAGCTAACATAGCATCCCCCTCTGTTGAGCTGGGTGTTTGAGTCGGCTAAATTAGCTAGCAGCATTCGCTAGCAAAGTGAAAGTGAAATAAATACAACTAAATATAGCTATCTCTCTCTCTCGCGTCCTCTTCATTTTTAAAGAAATTAATTTGTTCAAAACTGTTAAACTATTGTATTTTTCTCTCTTTGAGTCAACTACTCACCACATTCTATGCACTACAGTGGTAGCTAGCTGTAGCGTATGCTTTCAGTACTAGATTAGTTCTCTGATAATTTGATTGATTGTCAGTTCATGTTGCAAGAGCTCTGATAGGCTGGAGGACGTCCTCTGGAAGTTGTCATAATTACTGTGTAAGTCTATTGAAGGGGTTGAGAACCATGAGCCTCCTAGGTTTTGTATTGAAGTCAATGTACCCAGAGGAGGACGGAAACTAGCTGTACTCCGGCTACACCATGGTGCTACCCTACAGAGTGCTGTTGAGGCTACTGTAGATCTTCATTCCAAAACAGTGTGTTTTAATCAATTATTTGGTGACATGAATATATTTAGTATAGTTTTATCTAAAAAGGATAACTATTTTTTTTTAAATGAAATTAATTGAGGAGGATGGTCCTCCCTTTCCTCCTCTGAGGAGCCTCCAGCATGTGTCTTGTTTGTGTATGCTAGGGAGAGAAAAGGCAAACAGTGCACTTCCTGTATAGTCTCTGCTATGGTCTGCTTACAGTCTGTGTCTGTCTGCAGCTAGGCTACTCTACCTCTTGTTCACTGTTATTATATAGCCTATTCACCAGGAAATATTAACTTTAACTTAAGATGAATCAAACTTCCTCTCAAACCCATTTTGCAGATTGGTTGTCAAATTGATTCCCTCACATTACAATGTCTTAAAGACAAAACAAGATACAGTTACACCTTGCCTGAAGATGCCTGACATAAAAGCTACACTGTAAACATGTCCTGCTGCCATCTGGAATGGGGAATACACGGATAGAGATGGAGGGAAAAAAGATCTCTGGAGCAACCGCCTTTCGTCTGTAGTTTCCATTTGCTTTTGCACTGATATCTCAGATGTAATTGACCATGATGGTCAAGGGAAGCACAGTCAAATACCACTGAGGCCTCAGTCTCTGCACAGTAGTTGATAGGTCCCTGAACTGCACTGTTAAATCCTGAATATGTGAAATCATTTTAAGGTGGATATCCATAGATCATTTGTGTTCGTGGTTTATGCACATGCATAAGCGACAAAGTAATGGCATATTCACTGCTTATAAGTGCTTATTAATGCTAGTTTAACTCTACCCACATGTACATATTACCTCAACTAGCCGGTGCCCCCGCACATTGACTCTGCAACGGTACCCCCCTGTATATATAGCCTCCCTACTGTCACTTTATTTTTACTTACTTACTACTTTTTTTGTTTAAAATAAATGCACTGTTGGTTAAGGGCTGTAAGTAAGCATTTCACTGTAATGTCTGCACCTGTTGTATTCGGCGCATGTGACCAATAAAATTTGATTTGATTTGAGTTTCTTACCTCTGTATGTTTTCCCTAAGGTCCATGGCCACTGTATGTGCAACCACAACACCATGGGGCTGAACTGTGAGAAGTGTCAGGACTTCTACCATGACCTGCCCTGGAGACCAGCCGAGGGACGCAATACCAACGCCTGTAAAAGTAAGCCACCTTACGCTAACAAACTGTCTTAATTAAGAGTTCCCAAAGGGGAACTAAAGGGGAATGTTACAGTTTGTGTCCCCTTTCAATTGATCACTTGTGATGACAGGCTGCAGTGCCTGCTCAGTCCGTTTACAACCCTTTACAACCCTCAAACTGCCTTTTTATAAACCCCCCATCTCTCTCACGCTCTCTCCTTCTCTGCAGAATGTAACTGTAACCAGCACTCAGACTCGTGTCACTTCGACATGGCAGTATACGTCTCCACGGGCAATGGGAGCGGTGGTGTGTGTGATGAGTGCCAGCACAACGCTATGGGACACAACTGTGAACAGTGCAAACCCTTCTACTTCCAGCACCCAGAGAGGGACATCCGTGACCCAAGCATCTGTGAATGTAGGTTGAACCTTGAACTTTAAACTCCAGCACCCTCTACTCCTCCACACCCCACCACCCAAGCCCAGCCTTCCCTATCTCCATCCATCTGTCCATCCTTCCATCCATCATGTTATTTTCTCCCCATTACTTCTCCACCTCTTACCCTCTACTGTTTCTTCCACTCTCCCTCCCTCCCTACATCTCTCCACTTAACTCCTACTCCCCACTCTGCCTCATCTCATCCATGACTCTGTCTGTCTCTCTTTAGAAATATATATTTTCATGTTTTCTCCTCCTCCCATCTGGCTCTTTGATCCTGCCTCTGTGGTCTGGATCTGAGAGAACACCTGGGTTTTGAAGCTCTATCAGCCAAACCAGTGGTGTTACCTTTTAACCCCAAACCACTGTAGCGTGGAGAGAGACCCTTCTCATGTGTCACCTCTCCCCTAGGCTTTCATGGCTCTAGGTAAAAATTGACCTCAGGCCGCAGAGGATGCATAACTGACCTCAGATTAGCATCTGGGAGAACTTCATCCTACTCTGCTTTGATGTGGGAATGATGGGCTTGTTAGGCTTTTCACACTTGTCTCACCAGTGTTTTGAGTCCATGTGTTTGTGGTGTGTGAGAGAGAACTTCCATTCAAGTTTCAAGTCAATTGCACAAATACAGTGAAATGCCTTTCTTGCTTGCTCTTTCCCAACAATACTGTAACACCCTTTGTAAGGCTTTTTTTCTCCCCTTTGGTATTCAGTTTGATATTTTTGTTAGTCCGCAGGTAGCTACAGTTAAGCATATCAATTCTTCAAGCAGATCAAATAACCTTCAGCGCTTACAGTATGTACCTTTCTTGAAGAGGATGTACTTCCCTTATGAAAGATCAAATACCTCCCATTGATGTTGACCTTGACCATTTCCTTTTGCTTGTTAAGTTTGACTTCCATTCCATGAATGTGAACTTCACAATTTTTTTCTTCGTCCTGTTAGATAGTCACCATTGCAGCTTTCTACTCCACCAGTTCCACTCGCAAATACTCCATTTTACATAATAATGCCTAACTCAATGTTCCTGATGATTCCCATCTCTGTAGCGTGTAACTGTGATCCGGTGGGCTCTCTGAATGGCGGGATCTGTGACAGGATGACTGATGTGTCGTCTGGACTGATCTCTGGCCAGTGTCGCTGCAAGCCCAATGTGGAGGGAGAGCGCTGTGACCAGTGCAAACAGGCCCACTACGGCTTGGGAGACCACCCTCTGGGCTGCCTGGGTAAAGACACACACACACATTTACACATGTGTTATCGGAGTCTGGAGCTTTTTCAAGCAGTAGATGTCTAAATTGTATTAGAATAACTATAAATTGTTGTTTTTCCCAGCCTGCACCTGTAATGCCCTGGGGACAGTTCCTGGAGGGAGCCCATGTGATACAGACTCGGGAGACTGTTACTGCAAACGCCTGGTCACCGGGAGGGACTGTGACCAGTGTATGGTAAGGAACCTTATTCTTCTGATTTACTTACTTTGTACACAACAGTCACTAATCAAAGTCCACTTTGCTAACTGATGGACCAAAAGGTTAACGCTTTCACTCTGTGAGAGACAGTTGACTAATGATCTCATGGCAGGTGACGTCACCAATGGCCACTAGTTACACATCTGCTACACACATCTGCTACATACAGTGCCTTCAGAAAGTTTTCACACCCCTTGACTTTTTCCACATTTTCTTGTGTTACAGCCTGAATGTAATATTTTTTGGGGTCACTGGCCTACACACAATACCCCATAATGTAAAAGTGAAATTATGTTTTTCAATGTTGTTATTATTATTTATTTATTTTACAAATGAATTAAAAATGACAAGTTGAAATGTCTTGAGTCAATAAGTATTCAACCCTTTTGTTAAGGCAAACCTAAATATTTCAGGAGTAAAAATTTGCTTAACAAGTCACACAAGTTGCATGGACTCTCTGTGCAATAATTGTGTTTAACATGATTTCTGAATGACTACCTCATCTCTGTACCCCACACACACAATTATCTGTAAGGTCCCTCAGTCGAGCAGTGAATTTAAAACACAGAGAGGAAGGAAACCACTCAGGGATTTCACCATGAGGCCAATGGTGACTTTAAAACAGTTACAGAGTTTAATGGCTGTGCTAGGAGAAAACGGAGGATGGATCAACAACATTGTAGTTACTCCACAATACTAACCTAAATGAAAGAGTGAAAAGAAGAAAGCCTGTACAGAATACAAATATTCCAAAACATGCATCCTGTTTGCAATAAGGCACTAAAGTAATACTGCAAAACAATTTGTAAAGCAATTAACTTTTTGTCCTGAATACAAAGTGTTATGTTTGGTGCAAATCCAATACAACACATTACTGATTACCACTCTCCATAGTTTCAAGCATAGTGGTGGCTGCATCATGTTATGGGTATGCTTGTAATCGTTAAGGACTAGCGAGTTTTTCAGGATAAAAAAGAAACAAAATGGAGCTAAGCACAGCCAAAATCCTAGAGGAAAACCTGGTTCAGTCTGCTTTCCACCAGACACTGGGAGATTAATTCACCTTTCAGCAGGACAATAACCTAAAACACAAGGCCAAATCTACACTGGAGTTGCTTACCAAGAAGACAGTGAATGTTCCGAAGTGGCCTGGTTACAGTTTTGATTTAAATCTACTTAAAAATCTATGGCAAGATCTGAAAATGGTTGTCTAGCAATGATCAACAACCAATTTGACAGAGCTTGAAGAATTTTTTAAAGAATAATGGCCAAATGTTGCACAATCCAGGTGTGTAAAGCTCTTAGAGACTTACCCAGAAAGACTCACAGCTGTAATCGCTGCCAATGGAGCTTCTACCTAGTATTGACTCAGGAGTGAGAGAATTCTGCATGAAATGTTCTATAAAGTTGCAAACATTTCTTAAAACATGTTTTCACTTTGTCATTATGGGGTATTGTGTGTAGATAGATGGGTGAGAAAAAAAATATGTTTAATCCATTTTGAATTCAGTGTGTAACACAACAAAATGTGGAATAAGTCAAGGGGTATGAATACTTTCTGAAGGCACTGTACATTCTGTAAGGGGTTTGGTGGCTTAACTGTTGTCACCAAGGCTGTACATCTTTGGGCCATGCAACACCCTCTGGGTTGTAAGGAGACTGGTGTATCTGCCCACAGCTTGGAAACAGCTTTTACAGTGAAATGTAGTGGGAGGTCGTTAACAACGTGTCATTTAACAATATGTGTGTGTATCCTACAGCCTCAGCACTGGGGGCTAAGCAATGACATGGATGGCTGCAGACCATGTGACTGTGACCTAGGTGGAGCCATCAATAATGAGTGAGTTCAAAGTTCACTTTGCTAATTAGTTAATCTAAATGCCTCACTTAAAAAATGTATAATTGCTAAACGATTCTTCATAGTTGCCTCTTTTCATACAGACACAGAAGTCTTAAAATGAACTGTTACCTTGAATGCAACACTAAGATTAACATTTTTTAACTCTGATTAAACTCCCTGACATTCCCTCCCTGTCCTCTCTCTCTCACTCCAGTTGTTCCCAGGAGACTGGTCAGTGTGTGTGTCGAGAACACATGTTTGGCAGGCGCTGTGACCAGGTGGAGTCAGGCTTCTACTTCATCGCCCTGGACCACTACACCTACGAGGCAGAGGACGCCAAATTTGGACCTGTGAGTCACCTTTCTACCTTTGACCTTTGGTCAATGACCCTGATGTGTCTTTCTTCTTCTAAGTTCCTCTGGGATCATGGGTGTTCCCTACTAATCCTTGTGACTTCTCTTTCTTCCTCTCTATCTCTCTAGGGTGTGACAGTAGTTCAGAGACCCCACCCTCAGGACCGTAGCCCCACCTGGACAGGGGTAGGTTTCGTCAATGTTCCCGAGGGGGCCTACCTGGAGTTCTCCATCGACAACATCCCCCACTCCATGGAGTACGACATCCTCATCCGCTACGAGCCTCAGGTCAGTCCCAGCACATACTGCCTTCCCAATGGACATAAACTCCAGTGCACATGAGTGTCGGAGGATATTAATTTCTTCCTTTCCTTAATTGATTATGTTAGGTAACGTTGCTGCTTGTCAAGGTCCTGTCATTACCCTTTTGTTTACCTGTTTACCAATGTCTATGTACCTGTTATGTTGCCGTAGTTACCAGACCAGTGGGAGGAGGTGTTGATGACAGTGATGCGGCCCAGTGTGATCTCAGCAGACAGTCGCTGTGCCAATACCATGCCTGACGACGACAACCAGATGATATCCCTCCACCCCGGATCACGGTAAACACACACCGCCTCCTCTGTCTGTGTGTATGTGTTGGGGGAGGAGGACTGTTGGGTAACTGGTGGGTGGGTGTGAGAGAGTGAGTGATGGACTCTGAGTCTGTATATTAGGTATCCTGTGAGTCTGTATATTAGATATCCTCTAAGTCTGTATATTAGGTAGACTCTGAGTCTGTATATTAGGTATCCTCTGAATCTGTATATTAGGTATCCCCTGTCTGTATATTAGGTAGACTCTGAATCTGTATATTAGGTATCCTCTGAATCTGTATATTAGGTATTCTGTGAGTCTGTATATTAGGTATCCTCTGAGTCTGTATATTAGATATCCTCTAAGTCTGTATATTAGGTATCCTCTGTCTGTATATTAGGTATCCTCTGAATCTGTATATTAGGTATCTTCTGTCTGTATATTAGGTAGACTCTGAGTCTGTATATTAGGTAGACTCTGAGTCTGTATATTAGATATCCTCTGTCTGTATATTAGGTAGACTCTGAGTCTGTGTATGCACCCTGTATGTGCCCTGAGGGTTCCCCATTGAGAACACTGATTTTGTGTGTGTGTCATAGGAGTATTTTTAAACGTGTGTCCTTTTCTGACATCCATCTCTCTCTCTCTCTCTCTTGTCTCTTCAGATATGTGGTGCTCCCCAGACCAGTGTGTTTCGAGGCAGGGATGAACTACACTGTTCGTCTGAGTCTGCCCCTCTACTCTGCACTCAGCGACATCCAGTCCCCATATACACTCATTGACTCGGTTAGTTCCCACACACACACACGCTGTCAAACACATAGACACAACTCTGACTTTTGCTTGAAATATCCATGGAAGTCTATTCGAGACTTAGGCAGAAATTTCAGCTACTAGGATTTCATATTAGGATTGGGCCTTACTGACTCCATACTAAATCTCATTCCATCTCCTGTAACTTTCTTCCCCATCTGTAGATTGTGCTGATGCCCCATTGTAAGAACCTGGAGATCTTCACTGGTTCTGAGGGCGGTAACTTGGCCACCAACAGTGCCTGGGACACCTTCCAGCGCTACCGCTGTCTAGAGAACAGCCAGAGCGTAGTGAAGACCCCCTCCACAGACATCTGCCGCAACTTTATCTTCAGCGTATCCGCTCTGCTGCACCAAGGAGCTAAAGGTATGGCACCGTATGTGTTTCTCAACTAAAGGTCTAAAGAGAGTTTCTCAACTAAAGGTCTAAAGAGGGTTTCTTAACTAAAGGTCTAAAGAGGGTTTCTTAACTAAAGGTCTAAAGAGGGTTTCTTAACTAAAGGTCTAAAGAGGGTTTCTTAACTAAAGGTCTAAAGAGAGTTTCTTAACTAAAGGTCTAAAGAGAGTTTCTCAACTAAAGGTCTAAAGAGGGTTTCTTAACTAAAGGTCTAAAGAGGGTTTCTTAACTAAAGGTCTAAAGAGAGTTTCTTAACTAAAGGTCTAAGAGAGTTTCTTAACTAAAGGTCTAAAGAGAGTTTCTTAACTAAAGGTCTAAAGAGGGTTTCTTAACTAAAGGTCTAAGAGGGTTTCTTAACTAAAGGTCTAAAGAGAGTTTCTTAACTAAAGGTCTAAAGAGAGTTTCTTAACTAAAGGTCTAAAGAGAGTTTCTTAACTAAAGGTCTAAAGAGAGTTTCTTAACTAAAGGTCTAAAGAGGGTTTCTTAACTAAAGGTCTAAAGAGAGTTTCTTAACTAAAGGTCTAAAGAGAGTTTCTTAACTAAAGGTCTAAAGAGAGTTTCTTAACTAAAGGTCTAAAGAGGGTTTCTTAACTAAAGGTCTAAAGAGAGTTTCTTAACTAAAGGTCTAAAGAGAGTTTCTTAACTAAAGGTCTAAAGAGAGTTTCTTAACTAAAGGTCTAAAGAGGGTTTCTTAACTAAAGGTCTAAGAGAGTTTCTTAACTAAAGGTCCTCTGTAGCTCAATTGGTAGAGCATGGCGCTTGTAACGCCAGGGTAGTGGGTTCGATCCCCGGGACCACCCATACGTAAAAATGTATGCACACATGACTGTAAGTCCCTTTGGATAAAAGCGTCTGCTAAATGGCATATTATTATTATTATTATTATATTTAAGAGGGTTTCTTAACTAAAGTTCTAAGAGAGTTTCTTAACCAAAGGTCTAAAGAGGGTTTCTAAACTAAAAGTGGAACTGACAGCGTTTTAGCAACATAAAATCGTATTAAAATCTGTTCATATACAGCCCTAGGAAGAATATGATTACTTTTTTCTTACATTTTATGAGAAGCGAGCACTTATAAGGTCATTTTCACGTTGTCATACTTTCATAGAAGGTTTGGGAATGACGTAGAGTAAGACATTTGTGAACAATCTATAGCAATATAGAGTGGGAAAGCGGCCGTGCGTTTGGACAATTAATAGACACTGCAGCAAATATAACCTAATAAAAACGTATCAGTCTTGTCCAGGACCTGACTCTACACAGACCGGTGCGCCATAGCCAATCAGAGCTACAGTAAGCCTATATGCAAATAAGCCATTTTCCACACGCGCCTGCCCAAATGGACTGTGTGTTTACAGGCAGTAGTAACAGAGCGACTTTAGATCATTAGAAAGCATTCGCCAAAAGCCACAAAATACACCAGAATGGATTTCTGCAAATATGTAAACACCACGGGAGTCCTCTTAGATTTGGGAACTTTACAGTCCTATTGATCAAACATGAACAGGTAGGCTCTCTTCCTCATTTGCCTCTGCACAACAACAACAATATCAACATCTAATGTTAGCCAGCGCGAGATGAGCTCAAATCTAATGAGGGAACAGTAGATAAACCCTTCTCAAACTTTTTCAACTTGTAGTTAGCTGTCAAAATTGCACTGATAAATGATGGGGAATAGTAGCCTGCTCACCCTTCTGCGGCTTGCCTGCCAATGCATGCTTGTCTCAATCCACGTTTTGACAACTGAATGGGAACTTGCCTGCGTCCCCGCCCATTTGATCGATGCCAACTGCATTTGATTGACAACTAAGAGATATGCTAACTCTGGATAGTCGTTCAAGTTCAGCATAGCTAGCAATTTCAAATGTCTTGCTATCTAACCAAATTACACCTGCATCTCTAGCTGTAACCACTGAAAAACTCACCCACTCGTCCAATGACATGACATCCTCCCAGCAGCTAGTTAGTTAGATAGCTAACGTTAGGCTCTGGGTTTTTAGCTTGCTACATAAATAGATAAGCTAGCCTATTAGTCACATTATAACTGACTTGTGGTCATTGCCCTTGCTAGTTTGATTGTATTGACATTCCCAGCCTTACTTACAGTTGTCTGTTTTTGTCCAAAATATTCAGTCATTGAAACTGAAATAGTGCATCCCGAATGGCTGGAGGCAGCAAACAATGTACCAGGCCAGCTGTGATTTACAACCTGATAGCAATATTTGCTGGACTACCAAGAAATGTATTGATGAATTAGCTATATTAATCATGCATTAAACTGCATCCATCTATTCTGACTACAATACCTTACTGTATGTCATGGAATTTTTAGTCAAATAGAACCTATTTTATGAAGTTGGTTTTGTAGCATAAACTGGGAATTTGATATTTTTCACTGACATTATTATTGCCTGTTTGTTTCATATCTGCAAAGTAGTTAAACCGCTGTCAGTTCCACTTCAACTAAAGGTCTAAAGAGGGTTTCTTAACGAAAGGTCATTGTCATAAAGTTTGTGTTTCAATCACATACAATTGACCCTGGTCGGCATTGTTTGGGAATGACATAATTTCATTCCAACGTTGACCTCCGTCTGACAATCAGACCCAGTCAATCTCCACGTACACTCCCAACACTAAAAGTATATTTCTCTCTCCTCTATACATCAGCTGTTTCAATCCCTTTCTTTTTATTTTCCTATCTCTTTATTTCCTTTCCTTTCATTCCGTACCCATTCCTGTGCCTCTGGCATATTGCTGTTGTCTCCGGTTTCTGACCCATGTCACTCATCAACAGTTACGCTATGTCTGTCTGCTCTCCTGTCTGTCTGCTCTCCTGGACTTGTATTGGACCCTGGGGCCCTAAGCTTGATTAGAAGCCCTCTCGGATCTTGACACACTGAAAAGACCACAGAGGAATTTTCTCAGCCCACCACAGCAGTAAATCTCCTACTCTGCCAGACGGAGTGAGAACTTGTCTCTGCTGCCAGTCTAGTAGTATATACCGGGTTCATGCTATCGTAGGACAGATTTCATGGATTTATTCACATAGGTGATCTGACTTAGATTAGAAGAGTATAACATAATATAAAGGATGCAGTCAAATATAATACTCTATTATCTTGAGGAAAACTTTTCTTACACATGCAAGCATCAATGAAAACTAAACATAGCATCGATATGACAGCACTTAAATTGCAACATATAGTTAAATGAGAATGAATTGTTATTGAAATATGCCGTAAGTGTGATATGATTTTAATTGTATAAATGTTTTCTAGGAATGCTGTCAGTATGAGTTCAAATCCTCCCAGCTGTGGAAGTCATATAATCTTGTTTCACTTAGCAGGTTGAGGTTTTTTGAGGTCTCCTGCACAGATGTAGGTCCCACATCTGCACAAATCATGTGGTTTCGCAGGTCCCTTTTAAGTCTTATCCCAGTCTTAGCAGTTAGTAAAGGTTGGAGTGTCTAAACCAAGGTCTGCGTGCGATAATCTAGTCCCAGAGATACGTTTGCCTATCCTAGATCTGAAGGTTCCGACATTGCTGTGGTGTCCCCTTAAACCACAGTGGTTTAGAGGAGTTTCAGATTTATGAGGACAGCAGAGACTTCAGAGGATAGTGTTGAAGGAGTCTAGGCTTGGGCAGAGTCTGGCTCAGAGCATGTCAGTACCCGCTTGGGGGATGTTTAGTGGATATAGGGACACAACACTCACACTCGGTAAGGTTGCATGTACGTAAGCTTCAACACACACACGCACATGCTTGCCTAAAATCCTCCTCCCCTGATGTGACCCAAATCACTCGTCTCTCTCCTCCACATGGACTCAATGTCTTCGATAGAATGTCTGGTCCCTGGCTCTCTCTTTCTTTCCACTCGTCTGTTGAGAAGGATATAGGCCCTGTCAGCCTGTCAGGGTAATAGATATAGAAGGTGTTGTTGATGAAATACTCGTCGCCTTAATTAATAAAACAAACCTTTGTCAGTATGTCAGAAGCAAAATATATTGAGGTAAAATGTATTGAGACAAAGGGTTAACCAGGGTTTTATGTACAGTTAGTACTTACACCATATTCAAAACAGCTTGGGTGAAATACCTTACTCATGTATCCAGCAGCAACTATTGCCCCCATTTGAACAGATCATTCCAGATTATGTGTTCAACTCAATTTTAAGCCCATTCCCTTCCTCTCTCTCTCTTTAACATTTCCTCCTGTCTTTGTTTTCCCAGCATGCCAGTGTGACCCGCAGGGCTCTCTCAGCACAGTGTGTGACGCCAGTGGCGGGCAATGCCAGTGTCGTCCCAACGTGGTAGGCAGGAACTGTGACAAGTGTTCCCCTGCCACCTACCTGTTTGGACCCAGTGGCTGCAGATGTGAGTTTGACTGAATGAAAAGTGACTGAGTGCATGTGTTTTGTATTGCACAATACAGGCACTGAATCTGGCACTTATCACTCTCTTTGCCCTCCGCTCTCTCCCCCCAGCCTGTGATTGCAGTCCCCAGGGATCGGAGCATGCGTTCTGCCATGAGGCTACAGGCCAGTGTGCTTGTGTCCCCGGGGCGTACGGCCGTCAGTGTGACCGCTGTCTGCCGGGTCACTGGGGCTTCCCCAACTGTCGCCCCTGCACCTGCAATGGCCACACAGAGCAGTGTGACCCCTACTCCGGAGAATGCCTGGACTGCCGAGAACAGACCACCGGACACAACTGCGAGAGGTCAGCCATGGGTTAATCTGGGTTGAGGGGTCAAGGGTTAAGGAGGCTCATAGGTGTATGTGCTCGATGGGTTGGCATTAGAATGGGTAGTCAGTCAGTCTCCTAAAACGTAGATAACTTAGATATTATAAAGACATGCATGTGAATGATAGAGTGATTATGACCAACCACCTTATGCCTTTTCCCTACAGGTGTCTGGAAGGTTACTATGGTGACCCTGTCCTGGGTTCAGGGGACCACTGTCGTCCCTGTATGTGTCCGGATGGGCCCGGTAGCGGGCGGCAGTTTGCCGGTGGATGTTACCGCGGTCTGGACTCTCACTACCAGGTGTTTTGTATCTGCAGCCCTGGGTACAGAGGTAGGCAGCCAATAACAACCACCTGCCAAGATTTATAGAGCACCCTGTAAACTAGCGGAGCATGGCAGGATTACTCATGTCACAGTGCTTCTGTTCAGACCTGTTTCCTAGGAAGCAGTAGATTTGTATGCATTCATGTTACAGTGTGGAAGCTTGGTGGCTTTCCATGAAGTATAGCTGCCGGCGATGTACGCTCACAGTTTGATATATGGCTTAATTTGACAGGAGGACATATGTTATTGTGGCAGTAAATGTATAGGCAGTTATTATTTCTGATAGTGAAGATGGGTGAAAAGATATGTTGTTGTAGAGGTGAGTTATGACACTATGTTTGGTGAAGGGGTTTATTAAGCACATTTTGCTCTCTCGCCTCCCCCTTTACCTCTCCTTTCTTCTCTCCTCCTCTGTCTTTTCCTCTCCCCTACAGGTGCCAGATGTGAGGAGTGTGCCCCAGGTTACTATGGAAACCCCCATGAGAACGGCGGGCAATGCCAACCGTGCCAGTGCAACAACAACATTGACATGCTGGACCAGGAGTCCTGTGATGCCAGGACGGGTGAATGTCTCAAATGTCTCTACCACACCGAGGGTCAAGGCTGCCACAGCTGCAAGCTGGGTTACTATGGGGATGCCCTCACACAAAATTGCAGAAGTGAGTAAAGAAAGTTAACTTGCAACTCTTTGTTATGTGTTTGTCATATCAATGTGAGTGGTTGTCATTGTCCAATTGCTAACCTGCTAGCGACATCTCTTCTCTCCCTCAGAGTGTGTGTGTAACCACCTGGGCACCAACCCAGCCACATGCCCGTCGGTGGGCGACTGCCACTGTGATCTGGGCAGTGGGCAGTGCCAGTGTCTACCGAACGTGGTGGGTCAGCACTGTGACCTGTGTGCCCCCGACACCTGGAACATGGCCAGCAAGAGGGGCTGCGAAGCCTGCGACTGTGACCCTAACCACTCATTTGGAACATCCTGCAACGAGGTGGGTTCTCACAAGGCCGCACCATTCTTCTGTTGGGTCTTACTACTCCTGTCTCTTGAATCCTATCCTAAGGTCACATTTCTAATATTTATGTATAAGACTCCCGAGTGGCGCAGTGGTCTAAGGCACTGCATCGCAGTGCTAGCTGTGCCACTAGAGATCCTGGTTCGAATCCAGGCTCTGTCGTAGCCGGCCGTGACCGGGAGACCCATGGGGCGGCGCACAATTGGCCCAGCGTCGTCCAGGGTAGGGGAGGGAATGGCCGGCAGGGATGTTGGTAGAGCTTGGTGTTTGCAACGCCAGGGTTGTGGGTTCGATTCCCGCGGGGGGCCAGTATGAAAAATAAATACAAATATGTATGTACTCACTAACTGTAAGTCGCTCTGGATAAGAGCGTCTGCTAAATGACTAAAATGTAAAATGTATGTGTTTTGTCCACAGCTGAGTGGCCAGTGCTCCTGTAAACCTGGCTTTGGGGGTAAAACGTGTCGGGAGTGCAGAGAGCTGTTCTGGGGAGACCCTGAAGTCAAATGCAACGGTGAGTTGACACATCTCAATCAGCAGCATTGTAGTTACCTGTGCTGGCACTACACTGCCTAAATCCCCATCTTGACACACACTGAGGTGTGTGTGCGTGTGCACGCGCCTGCGTGCCGTGCGTGTATGTGTGAGAAAGCTCCAACCCAACAATTTTAAATTGCAACACACACAAAGCAGGCCTTTAGTGTTAATCACTGAGATATTACAAGCAGCCCCATTCCCCTAGCCTCTTATCGTGGGAATGTGTAGGAGTTTCAGCTGTGGTGGAGAAACTCACAGCATCCTCTCCTTACAGTGGGAGCCAAATTAAGGCCAGATGTGCTCTCTCACCCAATGGCTGTGTTTCTATGACGAACAGGCGGGGGATCTGTCCGAGCCTCCCAATATCCCGCCGGTCCGCCACAATGCACCTTTGTTCTGATGGGGTGTCCTGTTGGAGGGACGGCTGTCCAACACAGTGCCTGCTGCTGACAGAAAGGATCCTTTGTCCCAGAGTAGCATCACTGGAGCAGAGCAGCCTGCTTAATTATCTACTGAAGGACACATGAATTGGCTTCTGGTGTAGGCTAGTCCCTTGAGTGGAAACGTGCAGTCACTGTATAAAGGGTCCACTGCGGTAGTTTAATCTACTTCAAACTTCTGTATACATTGTTGCCAATGAAATTAGAAAATTATTGTGATCAAACCAAAAGTCAGAGGTCACTTTGACGGCTGTTTAAACATCGAACTCCTTCCAGGCAGGCTGCACCATGTCAAGACCTTGCTGTCCCGTCACAGTGCTGTTTTCTCAGGCTTGTGGTTTGCTGCTTCTAGCAGGGAGTGTTGTATTCCGGAAAGGTTTGTGTTTTTTCTCTCTGCGGAGAAGGATCTGTGTTGACAGTCCTGACTGTTTGTTTGGAGACGGAAGTCTGCTCTGGTTCCCTGATATCGGATTACCCCGTTTACCCCAACTAATGTTGACATACCCCTAATCTGGATAAGCCCAACAGCCAAACATTACACTAACACTAGTTTAAATGGTGCAGATCCCTCTTAGTTTGTGGTATGTTCGTTTCTCCAGAAACATAGTAACGTTGTACACTTTGAACGATTTAATGAAGGGAGGAAATGGTCAACTGCTCAATTTTGAGGTTACATTCATTGACATCACAGTTGCTTTCTTGTGCACATCCAGCCATTTTCGTGGCTTTTGCAGTGATTTGACCCTTTTAGACACATCGGTATACCATTTGAAGACAGTTTGATATCTGTGGGAGCCATGTCTACTATTTCTTGTTCATCAAAGCCTTGTGTGTCTGTGTGTGTGTGTGTGTGTGTGTCTGTGTGTGTGTGTTTTGGACCATGGTGAAAGACTGCTCCAGCTGTAGACCATTAAAGATGTAGTTTACTCCCATCTGTGCCCCCCTCATCCCCCGACACAGAGGAATAGAAGCCATGTTGGGATCCATGTCACAAAAACAGCTGGAATTTCCCTACCCTGCCTGCTCGCAATCATCTTATCTGACCTGTAACACACAACAGATGCTGTGTAGAAAAGAAAGAAGAGAGGCTAGATTTGGTCATTCAATTCACGAGCCGGCTATCTTCTATAAAAGGCCTTTATTAAAAATGTGAGTGATTTTGTTAGAAACAGCAGAAAGCCTACGTTAATCATCCATGTCTTATTGCGCTTAGTTCCCTCTACATATTGCTTGTAGTGTGTTTAGTCTGCTCTGGGGGCCATTGTTGATTAGATAGGGGGTAGGGTGAATATTTACCTCCCTTCACACCTAACCTATGTGGCCATTTTGTGTAAACAGAGGCAGCACTTTAATCTGCAGTGGGGGAGGGGGCTGTGTGAAAGGGACATTCAGGTGGTGCTGTAGTGTGATGTGGTGTTTGGGGCCCTAGTTTGGGGCTGTCTGCTGATAATGGTGACTGGTGAGTGATGCCCCACTTTGCCAGTTAACACGGCGAGGAAGAGAGACAGGGTAGACAAAAGGACAGGTCACATTCATTACATATTTCCACTGAGCCCAGGCCCCTCGCTCTCCTGCCTTACAAAACTATAGGAGGATTACGCCACACAGCTAAGCCCCCATTTCCCATCCTCTTTTGTTGCTTTAGCACCCTGAGGTGACTAAAAGTCATTTTTCAGGGTGTGTGTACATCTACACATTTTTAAAGGTTTGTCGTTCTACAAGTATGTGTGGTGTGTGCAAGAAAGTATGTACACTTCACCATAGATTCTTCAAGCTCTTCAAGTTTGTGTGTGAGAGTAAACACAGGAGGTACCATAGTTAGTTGCACGCTGCAAGGCAACAGGAAACATGTGGTATGTCATCAGTATGTGGTTGTCATCAGTGGTTCCTGGGGGGTTGTTTGCAGAGTCTGTAGGGGCCCATGGTGGCCCTTTTGTTCTCCACACACTCTACACACTTCCCTTAATGAGGCTTTGAAGTGGGCAAACATCCTCCTCTTTCTCCATTCCTCCTCCTCCACTCCACTCTCTTCATCCCACCCTATTCACTCCAACCAGCCCCCCTAAGGTCACTGGGTTAATGTGGATGGCGGTGGGTCATTGATCTTTGGCTCACCAGAACTTCAGCTGACTTCATCTTTACTAGGTGAAACTCCACCGAAAACATTTTATCCACCAGTCAATACATCAGCTGGCCACTCCTAACTCTCCCAACCGACACTCACCCAGAAATACATGTAGGCTTACCAGTAGATTTAAAATGTAAGGTGGCAAGCATTAAAGAACAGGGATATTACAACTTGAATTCTAATGAAAATACAATTAATTTGAAACTGTAATTAGAACCAAAGGTTAGGCTAGCTATTCCACATTTCTGAGGTGCTTACAACAGGGTGCTAACTGTGCTTGATACGTTAACATGTGATTATAAACCTATAAAGGTTACGACCCATAAAGCAACAGGAGCTCCCATCCTTTCCCCTCTCCCCAGTGGAGCACTTTGAAATGACATTAGGAGGATCCCAATAAAATGAATGAGTTTGTGAGTTGACCTGACGAGACAGACATGTCCTTTGAGGTCAAGATGTCAGTAGCGAGAGAGAGAGAGAAAGAGGCGGGCTACTTAAAAAGCACTTCCCTGGCTTTGTAAGACCGCTTTATAGGCTCTTGTCCATTGTTATGGGACATCAACAACCTGTTTGAAATATCTCCCTCCCATTCAGGATCTCTGGAGGGTGACAGACTAGTCAGGATCAGGATGCAACAAAATTAGTTGTTTTTTGAGTCGTGCAGAAATAGTTTTAGAGTTGAATGAAAAAAAGGCTAGACTAGTAGTAAAACCTATGTTTCCTGTTGCCTTGCAGCGTGCGACTGTGACCCACGAGGCATCGCCGAGCAGCAGTGCAACAAGGCCAACGGTCACTGCGTGTGCTTGGAGGGCGTGTCTGGTCCCCGCTGTGACGTCTGCGCCCGCGGCTACTCTGGCACCTTCCCCTACTGTGAACGCTGCCACCAGTGCTTCACCGACTGGGACGTGATCGTGGGTCAGCTGACCAACCAGACCCACAGGCTGGTCAACAAGGTGAACACCATCAAGGCCAGCGGCATCACCGGACCCTACAAACACACCATAGATAACATGGAGCAGAGCGCCGGGTCCATAAGAACTATCCTGGCCCAGAACCCGGCTACACAGCCACTGTCTGAGATACAGCAGCTACTGGAGCAGGCCACGTAAGTGGGGTGAAAGGGTGGGGTCAAGGGTGGGGTCAAAATGGGTCATTGACAATATTTATCGATAGCAAAAACAGTAGTAGCCACATCAAAGCAATAATATACTAGATTATTTCTGTATAATCCGTTTCTGTTCTTTAGATATCTAATGGAAGAGATGAGCAACAAGCTGAACCTCTCTGAGGAGGCGTTGGCCCAGGTATCATCTGATGACAACAGCACCAACACCAAACTGGACTCTCTCAAAGAGGACGCCCAGAAACTGGATCGCACCGTCAAGGAGCTGCTGGACCAAGTGGAGCTCATCAAGAACTCTGATGTTCGGGGTAATGGACTGGGACAAGGCTGTTAGACTTGTTGATGATTGGGATATACAATGTCATGTCCATTATACTTCCATTTGTCAACTCTGTGAAATTGAACATTGTTTTTGTAATGACAGGAGCGACAGACAGTGTCACAAAGTACTACAAGCAGTCTCTGGCTGCTGAGGCTCACGCCAATGCCTCCACCACCGGCCCAGGCAACCCTGTGGAGAGCTCTTTCGTTCTACGACAAGCTACAGAGGACAAGATGAATGACACCAGGGAGGAGTTCCACAGGAGGCAGGAAGAACACGCCAAGAGACTGGACGACCTGGCGGATCAGCTGGAGACATTGGACCTATCAGAACTCAGCGAGAAGGTAAGGCCAAGCAAGGCCATATCTGTGGCCTGAAACTGGCTTGCTGATGTTGATCTGAGTTTGACACAGATGGGACTCAATCAAATCCCAGTTTGCAAGATAAAACCATCGAAAGCAATACATTTTCTTGAGTTGTTAAATCAAAGCTTTCTTCTGTGTGGGTCAGGAAGAATGTTAGGTTTGATTGAATGAGAACCATACGCTTAGATTCCATTTGAACTCTTCTCACTCTACTGGTCCTCTCTCTGCAGACGTGTGGTAGCCCAGCTGGTGAGGTGTGTGCAGACTCTCTGTGCGGGGGGCTGAGCTGTGTGGACTCCGACGGGAACAGGAGGTGTGGGGGTGAGGGGTGCAACGGTCTGGTCACCCTGGCCAACAATGCCTGGCATAAGGCCAAGGACTTTGACCAGGAGATCCTCATGGCCATGCAGGAGGTGGACAAGCTCTCCAAGATGGTGAGATCCTGTCTTTAAATTAAAATGAACCAACTCTCTTTAGACAAGAAATACACCCACTTTGGTTCCTAACCTGTTTGTTTGTGTGATCATGTGTCCAGGTGTCGGAGGCCAAGGTGAAGGCAGACGAGGCCAAGCTGAGTGCCCAGGACGTGCTGCTGAAGACAAACAAGACCAAGCAGCGCGTGGCCCAGAGCAATGAGGAGCTGCGCAGCCTCATCCGACAGATCAGAGACTTCCTCACACGTATGTCTACTCCTAAAATCAACTCCCCCGTAGCCCCCATACTTTAACTCCTACATATGTTTACTACCCTGTGAGTTAAAGGTACAATCCAGCTGTTCAATTGTAATTTCAATTAAAGGTTTCAATAAATTTCACCCATTGATTCTAGAAGATTGTAACTTATAAATGTCTCATAAGCTTAGTACAACTGTCCCCTTCACGAGCTTAGTACAACCCTTGTATCTGCTGTGGCACCCCCTAGAGGATGCAGCGGACATGGAGAGCATCGAGGCAGTTGCCAACGAGGTGCTGGCCATGCAGATGCCCAGCACGCCAGCCCAGCTCCAGAATCTGACAGACGAGATCAGGGAGAGGGTGGGAGACCTGGCCCAAGTGGAGACTATCCTGAACCAGAGCGCCGACGATGTGCAGAGAGCCGAGAGCCTACTAAAGCAGGCACGCAGAGCCAGGTAACACACATTAACACAAGATTATCCTTGAACGGAGCACAGATGATGAGACACACACTGTTGTGCTTGGTGTGCTTATTATTTTCGCCCTCTGTGTGTGTGTCCCACAGTAAAGAGGCAACAGATGTGAGGGAAACAGCAGAGATGGTGAAGCAGGCTCTGGAAGAGGCTGAGCGTGCCCAGAAAGCAGCGGCCGAGGCTATCAAACAGGCCACCACCGACATCAATGGCACCAATGACCTCCTGACCTCAGTGAGTCAACATCCTCCATTTTATCACACACAGCGAGTTTGAACTTTTGGGACTAATCCATTGGTTCCATTGTACCTGTAAAACTAAATCAAGCACAGCTAAAGTATTTGACCCATTAAAATGTACAAGTATACCATAAAGACACACTGAGCTTGTCTTTACGTCTTCAAAAGGTGGAGTCGGAGACAGCAGACTCAGAGTACAAGCTGAACAACACCACCCAGAGGCTGCTCCGGTTAGAGCAAGACATCACACTGCTCAGAGAGAAGACACTGAACACCTCGCTTAGCTCTGAACAAACCGAGAGAGACGCAGAGACCATCAACAAAGTGGCTGAGCAGGTCAAAAAGGTTTGCGAGCTACTGTGTGTTAAATTGGGATGTGAGAGTTTGTGGATTATTTTTCAGCCTTGTCATTCTCACAATAAATTGCTGACCGTGTGTGTGTGTGTGTGTGTGTGTGTGTGTGTGTGTGTGTGTGTGTGTGTGTGTGTGTGTGTGTGTGTGTGTGTGTGTAGGACCTGGACTCGGAGCTGAAGGATAAGTACAGCACTGTGCAGGACCTGATCAAACAGGAGGCCGGGGGCGTGGCCGACGCCAAGAAGAGGGCGGAGCTTCTACAGCAGGAAGCCACAGACCTGCTGCTACAGGCCAGCGACAAGCTGCAGCTACTGAAAGGTACAGTACACACACACACACGTACCTGCACTGGCTATATGCACAAACTGACACACACACACACAGACATGCACTGGCTATATGCACACACTGACACTCTCACACACACACACAGAGACACACACAGACATGCACCACATAAATCTACAAGAACAGCTTGGAGAGCACCTTGCAGGCATATACACTGAACAAAAATATAAACGTAACATGTAAAGTGTTGGTCCCATGTTTCATGAGCTGAAATAAAAGATCCCAGAAATGTTTCATACGCACAAAAAGCTTATTTCTCTCAAATTTGTTTATATCCCTGTTAGTGAGCATTTCTCCTTTGCCAAGATAATCCATCCACCTGACAGGTGTGGCATATCATGAAGCTGATTAAACAGCATGATCACTTACACAGGTGCACCTTGTGCTGGGGACAATAAAAGACCACTCTAAAATGTGAAGTTTTGTCACACAACACAATGCTACAAATGTCTCAGGTTTTGAGGGAGAGTGCAATTGGCATGCTGACTGCAGGAATGTCCACCAGAGCTGTCGTTTTAGAGAATGTGGCAGTACGTCCAACCGGCCTCACAACCGCAGACCACATGTAACCACGCCAGCCCAGGACCTCCACATCCGGCTTCTTCACCTGCGTGATCGTCTGAGACCAGCCACCCGGACAGCTGATGAAACTGGGGGTTTGCACAACCAAATAATTTCTGCACAAACTGTCAGAAACCGTCTCAGGGAAGCTCTTCTGCGTGCTCGTCATCCTCACCAGGGTCTTGATCTGACTGCAGTTCGGCATCGTAACCGACTTCAGTGGTTACCACCTTCGATGGTCACTTGCACCTGGAGAAGTGGGCTCTTCATGGATGAATCCCGGTTTCAACTGTACCGGGCAGATGGCAGACAGCGTGTATGGCGTTGTGTGGGCGGCGGTTTGCTGATGTCAACATTGTGAACAGAGTGCCCCATGGTGGTGGTGGGGTTATAGGCAATGAACACAATTGCATTTTATCGATGGCAATTTGAATGCACAGAGATACCATGACGAGATCCTGAGGCCCATTGCCATTCATCCACCGCCATCACCTCATGTTTCAGCATGATAATGCACGGCCCCATGGTGCAAGGATCTGTATACAGTTCCTGGAAGCTGAAAATGTCTCAGTTCTTCGATGGCCTGCACACTCAGAAGACATGTCACCATTGAGCACGTTTGGTATGCTCTGGATCGACGTGTACGACAGCTTGTTCCAGTTCCAGTCAATATCCAGCAACTTCGCACAGCCATTGAAGAGGAGTGGGACAACATTACACAGGCCACAATCAACAGCCTGATCAACTCTATGCGAAGGAGATGTGTTGCGCTGCATAAGGCAAATGGTAGTCACAACAGATACTGACTGGTTTTCTGATCCACGCCCCTACCTTTAAAAAAAAGATCTGTGACCAACAGATGCATATCTGTATTCCCAGTCATGGGCCCTGTGTAGCTCAGTTGGTAGAGCATGGCGCTTGCAACGCCAGAGTTGTGGGTTTGTTTCCCACGGGGGACCAGTATGAAAAATGTATGCACTCACTAACTGTAAGTCGATCTGGATAAGAGCGTCTGCTAAATGACTAAAATGTGAAATCCATAGATTAAGGCCTAATGAATTTATTTCAATTGACTGATTTCCTTAAATGAACTGTAACTCAGTAAAACCTTTGAAATTGTTGCATGTTGCGTTTATATTTTTTTTCAGTGTACAATCACAACTCACTACCTAAAACACACACCCTTTCGGGTCCAACCATGCATGATATGTCCTTACAACGCATTGAGGCATTATCACAAACATTACACTACACAGATCCTACTGTGTAATGGTGTCTGCTTAGTGGATATATAAAACATGATCTGTTTATAATACCTATGAGATCTCCATCTCCATGTTGATTCGCTTTTTCCAATCAAGAGTTGAACATGAAATTACGCAGGCCCTCTAACTTTCTCTTCTCAAGTGTGTGTATTCACTGCGTGCAATTCCACGTTCTGATTGTAAAGCCGGCGTGTGGAGGGATACTACACGTCCTGTGATTTTAGATTGACGGTAGGATGTCTCCTTTTTGGTTCCCATCCAGATTTAGAGAAGTCCTACGAGGACAACCAGAAGACTCTGGAAGACAAGGCCAACCAGTTGGTGGATCTGGAGAAGGCTGTCAAAGAGCTGCTGCAGGAGATCAGTCACAAAGTCACTGTGTACAGCACCTGTCTGTTTTAAACACAACCCCCAGTACGGGGTTGTGAAGGAAACTGGTCCCCAAGGCAATATGAAACCCTAGAGACTGAACATATTAAACGTACCACCCACTCACACTCCCTGGTTTCATCATTTGAAATCAAAGATTTCTGTTTACTTTTATACTGTTTCTAAGTCAAACAAGTGGTATTTGTGTGGAAAAAGCAGGGGATAAAAAAAGAAGATGTAATCTGTTTCTATTTGTAGGAAACGAGGAGAAAGAATAAGTGAAAATCAGAATCCTGCCAAAGAGTTTACCAGCCAAGTTACAGCCAACATTTAAGATACACAGTACCAGCCAGACATCATCGCCTACATATACAAAGTGACATGAACCAGCCACAGACTTTACAACTACCTTGCTTGGCAGTACTTCTAGCACACAGTATGTGTGAGAATGTTATGGTTAGAATTTTTGAGAATGAGAGCTTTGAGGCGAATTTGTGCTTACAGATATTTGGAATACGAAAAAAATAAAAAGGAAAATGTGCATTGTTTTGAAATGTTTGCAAAGAACTGCCCTCTCCAGCTAAACCAGAATGTAATTCAATTATTTTTCTTGAGCTTGTAAACCAATGTTTAGAGGGCGGAAAGCATGAATGTAAAGGTTTGACTTACATTTTTACCATGAGACTGGATTATTTTGTATATTTGTAAACAGCATTGTATGAACCAACTGTTTACTTTCAAAGTTACGTAGACCAAAAACTTGACCAACAAATTTATTTGTATTTTTTTTTTTTAACTACCCATTTGAAATCCTATCAAATAAGTGTTATATCTCGACAAGTTCTTTTTTTTATTTTATTTTTACACATTTGTATTTTGAGCCTTAGCCTCTCGCCTTAACACTGTAGTGTACCTGTTCTGGTAAGATGGGGAAGTGTGCCGAGTGCTCCTCAGAGCAGACCTCCTGTGTACACTAAGCATTAGATCCAATGCCTAGGCTAGATCTGAAACACAAGAGACATTAAGCTACTCACAGTTGTTTTTATCCTTGATTTATTATTTTTTGTTGTATAGTGTCCTTGTTATTTTTTGGATGAAAGGTGCTTTAAAGCCAATGTATTACAATGATTAGTACTAGTATAGGGCAATTGTGACAGGACTTTTCATAAATTCTCCCAATATGCCACAAATCTCAATGAAATCTTTCCTGGAATAAATCAGGTCTGATATGTTTGAATTGGTGATAGGGGGGTGGTAACCTTCATTTGACTTAAATCACAAATGGATTATTCAATCACACATAGCCTATATTATGGACACTGGCAAATATGTTAACCTGGTTGGGTTGTATGACTTTTGTGTGATGTCATTGTTACCTGTGAAACTAAAAAGAGCACGATCCTACAAGTCAAATCTCAAGTTCACTTGGCTCATTCATAATGGGAAGTTTAATGAGCCACAGGCATTTGTCAATAGTATGAGCACATGGTTTCATCCAGAGTTGCTGAATTGAGATCCCTGTCTGAACAAAGATTTTCTAAGTCCTCCAAAGTGGAATCTGAGAGGTCTGAGGAGGATTCTGTCTCAATATTACCTACCATTAGGGGGCAGTATGTAGCTACAAAGTAACCGAGTGTTACAAGGGCTGCTAGAGGCTCCCAGGCCAGGGACTTCATTCAGGAACATCAAACCTAAATCAGAGAGGATGGAATCTCTCTGCCTAAATCTTGTCCCAGGAACATCATAATTATATGTTGTTCCAGGCTCCTAGCCTGGGACATCATACCCAGAGACCTCATTATTTTGTTGTCCCTGGAACATCATGCATACAGGAGAAACACCTCCAGTAGCTCATTGTAGCCAGAATTTAAAACAGGAGCAACCTGTTCTCTTACATCCATATTTGCACACACATTTTAGATACATTATAAAGCTGTCACCTCTAAATTAAGGTATTATAAAGGGACAATCATGAGGGGCTATGCGTTCTCTGGAAAATAATGAACAACGTGGAAGATGTGTTCCATGACGCGCTAGCGGAGCGGAACTTACCTTCCACGGAGTTGCATTATTTTCCAGAGAACGCATAGAGCCCCAAGTTGATTATCCCTTTTATACTATGGCTAAAATTCAGGGCACAACTTTGGTTTTAGAAGCGGGAGGTCTGGGAAATGACTTTTTCTGGCCATCTAAACCTATCAATATGTCTTGTCTATTTAGAACAACAAAAAGTAAGCAAAAATGCCCACAGTCATCAAGGTAAGACATCATTAAATATATTTAAGTGATTGATAAGACTGAACTAGATCAAATATAATTAATAATCAATATTGTGTTGCAACTTTAACCAATAGCCTAACAAATGAGCAACTTAAAAAATACTAAGACTTTTGATTGTCTTTATTAAGACATCCTCTATATAAAACTTCAGCCAGACCGCCCAGCCAGCCCGAGCCTCCTGCATGCCCGACCCCCACCAGTCTAGTACATAACTCAACTCTCTCCCAACACAATTTCCTTCCCAAGGGAAAGGTTTGGAAACAAAAGCAAATAAAATAAAACGTTTAAAAACACATACACCTAAAATATACATTAACACAGAGAAACAGCAAATCCTCCATATACACTGAACAAAAATATGAATGCAATATGTAAAGTGTTGGTCCCATGTTTCATGAGCTGAAATAAAAGATCCCAGATGTCAAGGGGTGCTGAAGGTGGGTGTGGTGCATGAATCAAGCGCAGGACGCAGAAGCTCAGTCCAAAAGACTTTAGTGCAATATTCACGTAGAAAATAAGCACAATAAGCCCGAAGGCGAAATAACGGCGCACACAGGCGTCAAACAAACGGCGCACTAACATGTGCGAAAAACCTCTCCAAAACACTGGAGGGAAGTACGTCGCTCCAACACGAAACAGAAGAGCAATCACACACAAAGACACAAACACACAACGAGAACTAAATAGGACACTAACGAGGACTAACAAGACACAGGTGTACAACATCAAGACAAAACCAAACGAACATGAAACATAGATCGGTGGCAGCTAGTACTCCGGGGACGACGACCGCCGAAGCCTGCCCGAACCAGGAGGAGGAGCAGCCTCGGCCGAAACCGTGACAGTACCCCCCCCTTGACGCGCGGCTCCAGCCGTGCGCCGACCCCGGCCTCGGGGACGACCAGGAGGACGCGGAGCAGGGCGCGCGGGATGGTCCCGGTGGAACTCCGACAGGAGAGATGGGTCTAGGATGTCCCTCCGCGGCACCCAGCACCGCTCCTCCGGGCCGTACCCCTCCCACTCCACGAGATACTGGAGACCCCCCATCCGGCGTCTTGAGTCCAAGATGGACCGAACGGTGTACGCCGGAGCCCCCTCGATGTCCAGTGGGGGCGGATGAGTCTCCCCTATCTCATTGTCCTGGAGTGGACCAGCTACCACCGGCCTGAGAAGAGACACATGGAACGAGGGGTTAATATTCTTATACTCAACAGGTAGATGTAACCTATAACACACCTCGTTCAATCTTCTCAGGACTTTAAAGGGCCCCACAAACCGCCGACCCAGCTTCCGGCAGGGCAGGCGGAGGGGTAGGTTTCTGGTAGAGAGCCAGACTCGATCTCCGGGTGCGTACACCGGCCCCTCACTGCGGTGGAGATCGGCGCTCGCCTTGTGACGAAGGACGGCCCGCTGCAGGTGGACGTGGGCAGCGTTCCACGTCTCTTCCGAGCGCCTCATCCAATCATCCACCGCAGGGGCCTCGATCTGGCTCTGCTGCCAAGGTGCCAGAACCGGCTGGTAACCTAACACACATTGGAAGGGGGTTAGGTTGGTAGAGGAGTGGCGGAGAGAGTTCTGGGCCATCTCGGCCCAGGGAATGTACCGTGCCCACTCCTCCGGCCGGCCCTGGCAATACGACCTCAGAAACCTACCCACATCCTGGTTGACACGTTCTACCTGCCCGTTACTCTCCGGGTGGTACCCTGAGGTAAGGCTAACCGAGACCCCCAAACGCTCCATGAACGCTCTCCAAACACGGGAGGTAAACTGGGGGCCTCGATCAGACACTATATCCTCGGGTACCCGGTAATGCCGGAAGACGTGGGTAAATAGGGCCTCAGCGGTCTGTAGGGCAGTAGGAAGACCCGACATAGGGAGAAGACGACAGGCCTTAGAGAACCGGTCCACAACGACCAGGATGGTGGTATTCCCCTGAGAGAGGGGAAGGTCTGTCACAAAATCCACCGAGAGGTGGGACCATGGTCGTTGTGGAACGGGCAGGGGTTGTAACTTACCCCTGGGCAGATGTCGGGGCGCCTTACACTGGGCGCACACCGAGCAGGAGGAGACATAAACCCTCACATCCCTAGCCAAAGTGGGCCACCAGTATTTAGTGCTAAGGCAATGCACTGTCCGGCCAATACCCGGATGTCCAGAGGAGGGTGACGTGTGAGTCCAGTAAATGAGTCGATCCCGAATCTCGAGCGGAACGTACTTCCGACCCTCAGGACACTGTGGAGGGCTGGGGTCGGTACGCAACGCTCGCTCGATTTCGGCATCGACCTCCCACACCACCGGTGCCACAAGGCAAGACTCCGGTAGTATGGGAGTGGGCTCAACGGACCTCTCCTCCGTGTCATACCGCCGGGACAGCGCATCTGCCTTACCATTCTGGGACCCAGGGATGTACGTGATTTTAAATACGAACCTGGTGAGAAACATACTCCATCGAGCCTGGCGAGGGTTCAGTCTCCTCGCTGCCCGGATGTACTCCAGGTTCCGATGGTCAGTCAAAATGAGGACTACAGCTAACAGCTCCCTGTCCCCAACGTCATAGTTACGCTCCGCCGGGCTGAGCTTTTTTGAGTAAAAAAGCACAGGGGCGGAGTTTAGGTGGCGTGCCGGACCGTTGAGAGAGAACGGCCCCTATACCAGCCTCAGACGCGTCTACCTCAACCTGAAAGGGTAATGCGGGATCCGGATGCGCCAGCACCGGAGCCGACGTAAACAGGTCCTTCAGTCTCCTAAAGGCC